ATAAAACCATTTTTTTGAAAGTTCAAAAAGAATCATGCTTTCCACTATTCGATAAAAGATTGATGAAAGATTGTATTTCATGTTAAATAAATAAATGCAATACCTGCGTACTAGCAGAAGTAGAAATAAACTATGAGATGAGAAGGTTTGTATTATCGAACTTCATGTTGGAGTGTATCATGTAAATACTACGCTAACTTGGATTTGTTTTGCCTCCCCAATATTTTACAACAAATGTATAATTTTTCTATTTCTGTCGCGCTTGCATACAAACTCAAGGAGTTTTTAAAGTTTCACATACGTTTTTATCACTGAACAATGAGCACGATGTTGAAAGTCATTACAATCTTATTATTATTATTATTATTATTATTTGAGGTTTATTAAAAACTTCTTGCAGCATAAGCTGAATTACAAGTTGAAAGGAGTAATATTACAAATATATTACATTTCGAACTTACTATCATACGGTTAAAAAGTCCAGAAGGAAAACTAAAAACAGTTCAATTCAGGTGGATCGATGATACCTTAAGGGTTCTACACTATATAGAGAATATAGTTACTTATCAATTGTATTTACAAGTTACGAAATTTAAAAATCTAGCAGTATTTATAGAGTTTAAACAACTTGGTTCATGTATCTGCCGTAAATAATATTCATGGTTAATACCAGCACTACTATTATTATTAAAAATTTCCTTCAAGGGACCAGCTAGTTTATTATCTCTGACGAACTTCTTGCAAATATCTTCTCGTCTTTCTGACAATGTGCGGAGACCAGCTTTGCACAATGACTCCTCATAGGGTAAGCCAGGGGCAATTATTTTCAAAGCTCTTTTTTGAACCTGTTCTATTTTTGCACTTAAGTACTCCGGGATTGCAGACCACACAGGGGCAGCATACTCTAAAATAGGTCTAATTAGGCTGCAATATACCATTACTAGTTCTTGACATCCAACTCTTGCTTTCCGCAATACACGAAGAATGTAAAAACGTTTATTAGCTTTCTTGATGATATAATCACAGTGTAAATTCCACGTGAAATCACTGCTTAGATAAACACCCAGTAGCTTATACGACGTTAATCTTTCTATTGTGTTTCCACCTATTTGTAAGTCTCGCAGTGGCAGTCTATAATGGAGGAAATCGATTACCATCTCCTTACATTTCTTTGGGTTTAGTCGCATACCTCTCGAGCAGGCATACTCCTGTATATGATTAACCAAAAAAGGGGTAACGCTAGGTGAACATCTTGGAACAACTTCAGCGGTTGATAAATCGTCGACAAATTTGATTCTAAGATCCCAATCACGGAGTAAACTGTTCACCAACACAGCGAATAGAATGGGGCCTAGTTTGGTGCCTTGGGGTATGCCTCCATTAGCGCATTTAAATGAGGATATCGTATCACGAAGTCGTACACATTGTTTCCTTCCCGACAGGAAGTCTCGAATCCATCTTACTACGGGAGGGCGCACATTCAGTTTTTCTAACTCAGCAACTAGGACATTGTGGTCGACTAGGTCAAATCCTTTGCTAAAGTCAGCGAAGAATACCCGAATCGAGCAGCCTCCTCTATCTAAGGTCTTTAAGGCGTTGTGTAGCAAGAGGACTAATGCTTGTGTTGTGGACCGACCTTTTATTGCAAACTGGTATGGATCAATCTGGTCAGTTTAATAAATGCTCTAAGGTGAAACTCTCCATTACTTTAGCTATCTGTGGTGTTAGTGCTATTGGGCGAAGATCATCTTCAATCGACTTCGGTGGCATACATTTGGGTATTGGAGAGATAATTGATGACTTTAGTAGATCAGGTATCGTTCCCTCAACCAGAGTACTATTATAAATGTCAGCTATCACTGATGATAACTCAAAGGCAAAGTCACGAAGTACCCTATTAGGGATTTCGTCGGGACCGACAGATTTGTGCGATTTGACTTTCTTTAAGGTGCGATACACTTTATATGGATCAACAAATAAGTCGGAGTCAATTATACAGTCATCTTGGGTATTCAGCTCATCACCAAGGGGAGTAAAGTCCGCTGTTAAAGTTTTTTGTTTTACGAAATAGTTATTTATGTTCTCAGCCAAATCATTTAATGTAATGGCAGACTCACTCAATAACTGTTCGCACCAGTCGATCTGACTAGACCCAGACCCGAGCTTTTTCACTTCTTTCCACCATTTGGATATATCACGATCTTTGATATTGTGAACCTGATTATGGTAATATGTCTGTTTGCAAGATTTTACCTCAGCTTGGACCTTGTTACGCCAAAATTTAAAAGGGTAGGAATGTTTTCCATACTTTGCGAGAGATGCTTGTCTTTTAGATACAAATCGTTTTAGTTTATTTGACACCCATGGTTTATCACAAGCACGTACGTTTTGTTTTCTTAACGGGAAGTGAATATTGATAGCCCTCATAATGTCTTTATAAAAAATGGTGAATTTATTTTGTGGGCCGACTTCATTGAAGACATTGGTCCAAGACTTGTTACATATCCATCTGCCAAATGCACGCACGTTGCTATCTTTCATTTCTCGCCTATAGACAGTTCTCTTACAATCTTTACGCTTATCCTGCACATTTTTAGGGTTGATAAGTACTGCATAGTGGTCGCTACTACCAATATTTGGGAGTTGTACTGGCTCATTAAATAATTTAGGTTTGTTCACAATACACCAGTCCAATATGTTATTACCTCTTGTTGGTATTTTCACCAGTTGTGTAAGACCATAGGGCCTTGTAAACGAGGACATAGATATATTAGTACTGCAAGGATTAAAATCACCAGTTATAATTATTAGTGCGTCAGGGTACTTGTTAAGGAATGAATCAACGTTTAAGTTAATGTGCTCAATCAATAGATCATTATCCTCTGCATTCGCAGACGGTGGGTGGTAAATTACACCGAATAAAATGGTCGATGTATGACGTGGGAGCCGATACGGTTTAAGATGGATCCACAATGTCTCCAGACCAGGAGGTATGGTTAACACATGTGTCTTGAACTTTTTATTGTAAATATTTGGCATAAATTCGCTTGACTTTTAGAATAAAATGCGAGGTAAACACACAAAAAGTTGTAAGCGCCAGCGCTTATTCTAATCAGCAACACTCGATTGTTCGTTATTGCGCATGCGATAAATCTCCAAGAATCTTGGAGATTCCTTCGAATTTGACCAGGGTCTTCGTTGGCCGTTTTCCTCGCCATGAACACAGAAGACCCTGGGCACGAGGTTGTATTTTACTTAGTAATTCAATAATTCAACCTTTTTACGTCATGTGCAATGAACTGAATACTTAATCATGCAAGCACGGCATGCAAGTTCGATCGCTTTGAAATCATTATAAGATCAACATTACTGAACAAATTTTAACAGTTAAAAACGTCTTTGCGACCGATTAAAAGAATGAAATCCATGAAGTTCAGTTATAAATGTTAACTGTACAGTTTTGAATTTGAAACACCGGACTTGAAGCCGTAAAGTTCTTCGCCTGATTTAGTTGGATCGCTTGTTGCTGTTTGTTGACAATGGTAATTTGATGGTCGTGTTTGGCGGATGAAGCAGAAATACAAGATTCTCTTTGAACCTGATTCTCTTTGTCCTCAAGTATGGTTGAAGCAGCTACCGATTCGCTCTGGCTGATGTAGTTACTCAAAATCGAAGACATAACTTCTTGTTGACTCGAGGATGGCCGGCTGCTGTATGACTCGATCGATGTGTCGGATTTGTGGCCAGTGATTGATTTCATTAAAAGGGTCTCAACGTTCGCGTTTGCTAAAACCGTTACGGATGTGGCCCTAATGGAGTGGTTAGTTAAGGGTGGTTCGATGCCTGCTCTTTTTGTCATGACACAAAACAAATTGCCGAGAGTCCTCTCACCGACAGGGGAATTTGCATACCAGATCAAGTTGTTGACATCAAATTTGTTGGCATTCGCGTCTTTTGGACGCTGGAACAAGCTCTCACAGGCTGGGTTAAGATGCTTCAAATAATTCTTGATTGTTTGGACAGGACAGGTGGAAGAATCTGGTATGCTATAGATTTTGCCGTCGGATTCGTCTTCGGGATCGTATAGACCACCTTGGTGATTTTTTGTTGCCAAAACAGAACCAGCAACTTCGCGATTTACTCATAAAAGTCCTTCCCGTCTGGTGTGGACCTCAAGATCAGCATGTTTGGCTTCAGGAGCCGTTGGTTTTCTCGACCGCTCTTTTCCCAATGTAAAAACTCAAGTAAAACCAAACTGTGCGAAACAGTTGTGCGGGGTCTATTAACGTGTCGGCGGGACCTAATTCACCGGAACGGAAGAGCTGCTGAATTTCTTCTTTTGAAATTGGTTTCTTGTGAACTGTGCCAGCTATTTTCTCCGACTTTCTTAAAACTTTGACAAAGGCATCAAGAACTTCGTTGGCTTCGGCAAAGGTAGGGTCACCAACTATGCTAAACCCTTTTTTAAACTTTTTCTTTAAAAAACCTTTCGATGGCAGCCCTAATAGCTTTCATTGCAAAGCCGTCTTTCTGCTTGGCAGACGTGTAAAACTGCTTTAAGCAATTATTTAATTCTGCTTTTATAGACATCTCTGTTATGAACTTGTCAAATTTTTTAAATTTTTTTTGAGCTCGTGAACCATTCTGGAAATACAGCAAAAGGAAACCGAAAATTTCATTATTAAATGCCCTTTGTTTACAAAAGTTGTATCGTGGTTTTTTGTACGTTTTAATTGCAGAAAAACATAAACAAAACCGTATATTTTGTAAACCTAGTTTTAACCTACCGTCGAATACTTTTATTCCAAAATTTGTCGTTCTTTCAGTGCATTTTGGCGTGCTTTTTTCAAGTAAAACTTTCGCTGTTTCGCTTAAATCCCCAAATCTTTCAGCCATTTTGTTTACTTTTCTCTACTAGACATATATGAGCTAATATCTGTCTAGTAAAGGGAGCCAATCAGATTGCACATTAGCTCATATCTGTCGCTTGTGTATATAATAATACAATATATTATTGTTATGGCGCCACGTGTTCTGCTTCAAATACTGGTTATCTAGTATCTACGGTAGGTTAACGTTACTACAATGTTGTTTCTTCGTAGCGCAAGAATGTAGAAACACCGCAATACAACTTTTTCATGTTTAATCCCAACACTAACTTCGTTTAGTAAACACTCAAAAGGAAGTTGAGTCCGATGTCGATTGTCGAATCGGCATTTCTCTCGAAAACACGCAATGTCAGTTCCTAACTTTCGATGTGCGTCACATAATTAGCTCAAGCTATTAAATATTTAAGGATTAATGCACTCTGTGAGTGCATGCATCATCGGGTTTTACATGCACGAGTTCACAAACAAGAAACGAGAAGTTCAATAGTTTAGTATTTTTTCTGTGTGGATTCATCTATAATTACATTAATTTCTTCTTAACTAAATTCGGCAAATTTTTTGTTTGTTGCCGCCATTTTGATCGTGCAATAAATCCTATAACGGCCACTGAGCTATATAATAATTCCTGGAGGACCGGCTCCTAATGTTTTTTTCTCAAAAAGTGAAGCAAGAAACATGGCGGAATTTTCGTGCTGACGCCAGATATGGTCCCACTGGGCAATGGTAATGACCACTGACACGGCTCAATATTGAGCCCGCTCCAACATTCATTCCCCCCTGCATATTTTTTGGAAACACTTAGCGGTAAATTGTTTTCGTTATGAATTTTTATTTTTCGACCTTTTTTCTACTATTTGTTAATTTCATTTTAAGATCTACACAACTGACACGTACTTGTTGTGCTTTAAATGTGGCATACGATTACTAAAAGCTGAGAATTTTTAGTAAATAATGGTGATATTTGAAAACATTGGCGAACTAAAATCTCGAAAGAATTTGAATATGAACTTTTCATATCATATTTTAAGAAAACGGAAATTATTTACGTTTTATATGTATGCTTGGTTGGCTTAAGTTGTATCACATATTCACCATTTATGATATGAGACAGAGTATTAACTATAAACTACAGTTTGACTTTGTATGTGAGAATCAGTTCATTGTCATTGTGCTCAGACTCTAGTCTTTCACTAGCTGGTTGAAAATCTCATGCTATATCATAGTGCTATATATGTGGAAAAAAAATTATAATCAAAATCACTTAGCCAAAGGGCAGCTGATTTGAACAGGTCCAAGATTGCCAAACTACCTGAATAAGCTGATCAAAAAACACAGGAATATTTTCCCCATTTGTCCTTTATATTTACCTTGGCTTTTTGCCAGCTTTTAAAACAACTGACCAGTCTAGCAGTAAGCTTTGACAGTATGAAAATGAAAAATCAAATTATAAAGCATAAAAAACTGAGCAGATGTATGTAAGTTCAACTATGTTTCACATTAATTAGTGACCAAGGATCACCAAGCAGATTTTGCATCTTTTGTGATTTAATTTTAATAGTTTGAATCCTGGGTTTGCATGAAAATGGTGATAACTCAGAGCTTTGTTTTATATTTTAACAATAGGTATGCTGGTAGAGGATTTTTGGGAACAACACTATTACTTTTGACCTAAGCAATTAGTAAGTGGACTGCATCTGCTTTTGAAATGTTAGAAATTGAGAAAGAACTGAATAAAAATAGTGATATATTAACATTACTTTGCATTATTATAGACCATATAGGGTCTATCATAGTCATAATTGGTAATTTTGTATTGTGTGCAGTTTTTGCCAAGATGGAAAGTAGGCAAAAATTTATTTTCCCACAATTGACATATAAATCAGGCATTCTTCTACTGATTGACTCAGTTAAAACAGTCTCATACTCTCAAAGAATAGCAGTTTATAACACCTCTTTTGGATATGTCTAAATTAATAAACAACTATTCAGCTTGATGGCATAGATACAGATGGATACAAAGTTTAATAATAATAAAATGATATTAAACAATGCCCAGGCAAGTGCAAGGATCTGGCAAATAAATTTAAAATATATAATTTAGGACAAGAAATCCAAAGGATTGCAAAAACAACTCTACTTATAAATTCCATATGAGAAACAATTTATGCGGATAAAACTATAAGCGTAAATCTCAATTCACTTTCTATGAGAGCTGTCAAAAATGCCCTCGATGAAACTTCAGAAGTAAATGTTTTCGAATGAATTTCTCTTTCGTAAAGAGTCGATTGGTATAATAATAATAATATTTAATAATAACAAAGAAATACAAAATTTTGATACATAAATCCTCAAGAATACGTGATAACTTCTCTCACTTGTAGCATCGTCGCCATGCTTTCCTTCAACGATAACAATGTCAATGTCACGTGACTAAACAATCTAGTATAACTCTTAATTCATATAGTTCAGAGTCTAAGTTAACTTGAATTTAACATGAAGTATAGCACACTCTCCCCGTTGATCACTGTGCAAGTGATCAACTGATGTACTGGTTATAGCTGTTCGTTCCTAATTAGTTCTCTTCGTCTTTCAGTAGCTTTGATCGCTGCCGCACGCCGACATCTCTGAGTAACAGGTTCCTCAGTTAACTGAGGTTTGACCGTAGTGTCCGCTTTCTGCTGAGTTTCTTCATCATTCTGATTACTAATTTCGATTGGATATAACTTCTGTAGAGGACGTCGAATCGTTGTTGGTTTCTTACCGCGTTCTGCAACTCTCACCCTAGCTCCGCGAACTTGGCCATCCTTTCCACGAACTAGATTCATGACTCTGCCGACTCGCCAAAGTCCTCGAGAACGGTTTTCGTCATGAACAACTACTATATCGTTTATCCTGATTGATTCTTTGCTTGATTGTGCAGAATTTCTGTCTCTATGCGCCTCTCTCAGTTCCAATAAATACTCGCTTTTCCATCTTCCCCAGAAATGGTCTAATAAAACAGCCAAGTGCCTTTGTCGCCTCGTAATATCTGTTGACGATGGTTCCCAGTCTTTATCTTCATCTCCTTCTGGTGTTGGTAAGGACAAGAGTCTGCGACCGTACATGAGATGTGATGGAGTGACAGGTTCTTCACAATCTTCTGTTGATGTGTATGTTAGTGGTCTGGAGTTTAGAATAGATTCAATTTCGACAAGTTCCGTAAGTAGCTCTTCGTACGTTAGTCGTGCATTCCCCAGTGTCTTACGAAGACATCTCTTTACCGATTTTATCATTCTCTCATAAAATCCACCCCACCAAGGGGCCTTTTCGAGTATAAACGACCACTTAATCTTTGATGAGGTAAAATGATTGATTATTCTTGGGCATTCGAACAAGGCTGAAAGATTACGCGAGGCTGACTTAAAGGTTTTCGCATTATCCGAGATCATCAGGGAGGGTACTCCTCTTCGCGCGCAGAATCTTCGAAAGTTTCTCAAAAACGCTTCGGTTGACATGTCAGGGACAAGGTCGAGATGTACTGCTCGAGTTACACAGCATGTGTACAGTGAAATCCATACCTTGGAATCAGGGTTCTTCACATATAGTGGTCCAGCGAAATCTACGCCTGTGTTTGCAAACGGGAAGTCTTCCTTCACGCGACAGTCTGGCAATGGAGGGGGTGGTGGTACACGGTAGGGTTCTCCTTCGTGTCTTCTGCAAATGACGCATTTGTGGATGATATTTCTCATAAATTGTCGGCCTCTTACTATCCAGAATCGTGCCCGTAACTCTGTCAATGTTCCTTTAACGCCGCAGTGCTTGACTCTTTCGTGGCAATGTTTTACAATGAGAAGTGTTAGATGATGTCTTGGATCAAGTAAGATAGGGTGTTTCGCCGATTCCATGATGCTAGCATTTTCCAGTCGTCCACCGCATCTGATAATCCCCTGCTTGTCAGTAAACGTCCCGAATTGCCGCTTCCATTCACTGTATTTCGGATGTCCGGTAAGTGAAACTTGCATTTCCTTTAACCAGAGTACTTCAGCTTGATCTATTTCTTCTGTCTAGGAGCTGTTCGACTGTTCGCAGGATTGAGCATTTCCGATTTTCGCCTTGATCTTTAACCTTCGCACGAATCTAAGGACATACATTGTTATTCTTAAAAGTCGATGATAGTTTGAGAAGTTCTCAATGGTTAATAAGTCCTTTAAATTTCTCTTTGTTACTTCAGTCAACAGTGCCGTCTGCACATTGCGTGATGTCTTCTTTATCTCTCGTAAACATTCCTCTGGGGGCAAATCTGAATCATCCACCAATTCGTTATTGGGATTCAATTGTTCTGACAGCCATTTGGGTCCACTGCGCCAGTGTTCACACTCTCCAAGTTCTGAAAACTTAATGCTTCGAGTGGGGATGTCTGCTGGATTGTCTAGGCCTGGGCAGTGTCTCCATGATGATGACGGGATGAGGCTTCGCACTTCGTTGACTCTCAGCTGAACAAACTGCTTCCACTCTTTAGTTTCTCCCCTTATCCAGTACAAGGCAACTAACGAATCTGTCCAGCATATGACGTTTTCATCAAGTTCCAAGACAGGCTTGAGTGCGTCAAGGGTAGTTTTCATAAGTCGTGCGAGAATAACAGCAGACAAGAGTTCTAATCTTGGGATCGTTTGTTTTTGACTTGGTGCGACTCTCGTTTTTGCTGTGACGAATGCTGCGTATCTTCGTGTTGTTGTTGTAACGACAAGATATATCACTGCTGCATATGCTGAAATCGAGGCATCACAGAATCCGTGAAGCTGGCGGGCTACGACTTTCTCCTTAACATGAACAAAGTAACATCTAGGTAGTGTTATTGGTTTCGTTTTCCCCAGATCATCAACGAGCTTCAACCACTTTAATCTCAGCTCCCCTGTTAAAGGTATGTCCCATTCAAGTCCATCGTCACACAAGGACTGAAATAATAGCTTCATTTGAATGATGATAGGTGACATAAATCCAAGAGGATCATAGAACTTTGATGCAATGCTGATAATGTTCCTCTTCGTTGGCACGCATTCCTTTGCTGCCTGAGCGATTGGTGCCAAATCGAACACGAAACAATCTTGTTCGTAGTTCCATTTAACTCCTAAGATCTTTTGTTCACATTTCTTGACTGGTTCGGACAAGTTGCCAGTCGTTCCTTTAGTATAAGACTCGTCATGTTCCATCGTCAATATTTGGTTTGATCTCGATTCATCTTGTTTAATCTCTTCGACCAATGAATTGGTATCCTGTTCGTTGTGGTGGTCTGCAGTCAAGTGAGCTTCGTTCTCGTTTATTCGAGTCATTAAAGTAGGCGAATTTGAGTAGAACTTTCTCAAGTTAAAGCCTCCTTCTGCAAGTCGAAGCTTCGATTTCTTGTAAAGTAGGAATGCTTCATCATCGCTTTTTTCGCCTGCGTTTAAATCATCAACGTAAATGGATTCCAAGAATTTTTTCACAAATTCTGGGTCGCTGCTTCGATACTGTTCCATATGATGCTTCACCGTGGCATTTAGGAGGAACGGGCTTGAGGAAACTCCAAATACCACCCTCGTAAACCGCAAAGTTATAATCTGTGGGTTGGGATTATCGATGTCATCTACCCATAAGAAACGTAGAACGTCTCGATCAGGTTCCTGAATCAGCAGCATGAGGAAAGCCTTTTCAATGTCTCCAACAAGAGCGACCTTGTGACAACGGAACCGGAGAAGGATATCAAGTATATTCTGTGCTAATGCAGGGCCAGTATATAGACAATCGTTCAAAGATGGACCGTTGTCCTTTGCGGAGGCATCATATACAATCCTCATTTTTGTTGTGGACTTGTCTCGTCGGATCACTGCATGGTGCGGAAGGTAGTGAACCTTACCAATTTCTCCCGTGTTGTGTTCATCGACCACTTCTACTATTCCCTTCTTTCGTTGCTCTGCTATGACATTGTTATACTCTTGCAGTATCTCTGGATCCTTTCGTAATCGTGTTAGCAAATGTTTCAAACGTTTTTCACTTAATTGGTAGTTGTCAGGAAGAACAGGATGGGTTTCCTTCCATGGTAATTCTACTTCGTACCGCTTATCTCTCAACTTGATCGACTGTGTGAACCTTTCATAAACGGATTCCTCGTTTGGGAATACGCCCAATGATTCTAGTTCCCAGAATCTTCTTAATTCTTGCGTCACGTCTGTTGGGTCGGAGGTTGATGGTTGTGTTGCACATTTTAAGACATGTGCGTCCACCAAGTTAACAATGCTTGTTTCCTCGTTCGTAGAATCTGTTACAGGACCAGATAGCACCCAGCCAACCTTTGTTTCCATTGCATTAGGTCCAGAATCTCCCCGTCTGACTGCTCCAGTTACCAAATTCCAATATTGATCAGATCCCACCAAAATATCGACTTCTAGTTCCTCATCACTTGTGTTCAAATCAGCAAGATTAAGTCCTTCAAGATGAGGATAAATTTTCTTCGCTGCTTCCGTTGTTTGGTGACTGAGGGGTTGACAGATTGTTGGTACCACAAATGCTGTGATGGGAATGTCTGGATAGTTAGGTTCTGTCTGAATGTTGAACTGTACATATTCACAGGTTTGTAGTTGTTCCACTTCGCCTCCAAATGTCTTTATCATAAGATTCTCTGTTCCTTCTGTATTGAGATTTAATCGATTCTTCACTCGGGTCGTCACATAAGAACGTTGACTCCCACTATCTAGTATAAGTCGGGCATTTACACTGCTGTCTGGAGTTCCCGGTTTGTTTATGTTGACCTTTGCTGTCTGCAACAAGATCGATGTTCGCGTACCGACATACATTGCTTGACTTGTAGTAGCTTGCTGCTGTTGTTGCTGGTGATTTCTCTCTCTGTTTGGTTGGACAGAAACGATCTTGTTATCATTTCCGGTTGGTTGAGAACTGGGTTTCTCATCTCTTAGTTCTGGTTCTTGTGTGGGCTGTTGTGGGCCTTGAGCTTGTTGTTGGAGCTGGTTTTGTGTTTGGTTAAACACTGGGTTTGGAGGAGGGGGTTGACCCATGCACAGACTAGCATGATGTCGTCTTCCACACTTAAAGCATTTGTTGTTTGACTGACACTCTCTACTGATATGGTTTTTCTTCAAACATACAAAACACCGTCCACTTCGTTTCAGAATATCCTTTCTTGCAACCACACTAGTCACGGTCTTGCAGTTTGCTGATAAATGCTTGCCTTGACAATAAGAGCAGGTAGTATCATGATGTCCAAACAGAAGAGCAGCACCAGATGCTGGCCGATATCGTTGGTTACTTTGCTTTGATGCTGGTGGGCCTTGTGAATTTGCCCTTTCTCTGGCTTCTAATTCCTTTCGAAGGAGTGTCAAAAGTTTATCCAAGGACCATTCATCTTCTTCCATCTTCTTTGTTACAGTAATACGCAATCCTGGTGGCAGCCTTTGCATCAACATTGAAATCATTAAATCACCATACGACTCTGTCTTAACTCCCAAAGACTTAAGACCTCTGACATGCGACTCAATCTTATCATAAAGTCGTATGTAACGGGTTACCTCGAACGTTACCTTTGGAGTCATTATATAAACGTTACCGTGTGCACATAGTCTTAATAGAGAGGTTAAGATACCCCGGTTCCGGTGTACGGGTACGGGTGAATTACACGTACCCGTTACCGGTAAGACGGGTACGGTTTGCAACTTAAGAATTTTCTTAAATTCCGGGTAAGAACAACACCGGGTAAGAACTGACTATAAAAGTAAATATGTGTTATACATTTCCATTGTAAGTCCTACTTAACTTTTATATAACTATAGTATTTCGTGTGTTTGTTTTGAAAATCAAAAATATCAAGATGGCGTTCATAAATTATGTTTGCAAACCATTTTTGAGAAGCCTGAACAATATGGACACCATATTAATACGTAAAATGTATTTTAAACGTGTTAAAGACACTCATCCCCTTTCTCCATTTGTCTTTTATTAAAAAAACTTTGGCCACTTTGTCTTTGTAGTTACCCGTTCGTTGTTTACGTGTAGACCGTCGTTTACAACGGAAAAACGGGTAGATATTACGGGTAAATATGCTGACATCAGCGAAAAATGGAAAACAAAATGGCGCTACCCGTACCCGTACACCGGAACCGGGGTATCTTAACCTCTCTAATGAAAACTTCTGTGCGTTGATAAGGACAGGCGTGATCGAAAGAGGCGAGATCTTTTACTGGCGAAACGCCATAATTTGTGAAAACCGATAATAACACATGAGCGTTTATTTAATTTTATTATACAATAGGCAGTGTTTTATTGACGAATCCGCCATTTTAAAGCGATAATAACACATGTGCAATCATTCATGATAATAACACAATGCGATTATCGTGTTTGATCCACCGATCTGGGGGATACGCTCACTCGTTCGATATCATTCTCAACACTCGAAATAAATTCCATATTTCCGCGCATCTGTGTATTATCCTCTATTTAATTTTTCTGCAGGAATTCTACACGGTCATTCGATTACTGCTTCAGCGCAAACAGACAATGTGTTCTATGTTCTGGGGACTGATGGTATTTACGTAATAGATCCAGTGGCGAAAAGTGTTGTTGCCAATATAACAGACAAAACAGCACCAGGCTTGTGTACCAAGAGAAGCGGTTCAAGGTTGGTTTGTCCAGTTCTTACGACACACAATAAAGAGGGGGTGGGGCTGCCCATGAAGAAAAGGTTTCCAAAATTGGCTCATGAGCTTTCAATGCGAAATGATGCGTTCGCATGTGCTTTGAAAAATTACAGGGAATTCGGGGTTATTGAGCAGTCCAATTGAATAAAGCAGATATAAGCAATCCAAGGGCATGTCACACTGTGACCATGTGAATCAAGTATGGTGTAAACGAGGTCTAATCTTAATTACATCTACGTCACCGTGACGTCAACAGAGGTGGTGAGCTTATGGTAATAATGTGATAAGTCACACAACAATCAGTTTGCCCTAAAGTGTGGTGTTTAGTTGGCTAAAAGAAAAAGAGCTTGTGTTTTAATTGCACAGGGCAAAAATTGATTTTTGTTTGAAACAGTTTGTAAACTAATAGCGCTCTTTCATTAGTGACAATTGCTCGTTTGTTCTGGCTTGCGCTGTTCATGAGACAGTTTTTGTCGCGGATAGAAGTGGACGTGCTGTGCATTTGATCGACATCAAAACATACAAGAAGATTAAAACCATTCAGACAGATTCTTCACCATTCGAGATGTTGTGTATGCCGTGGCGCAAAGAAGTCTGGGTATCACTTTCTTCTGGAGGGTTGACGTCATCCACCCTGAACGTCGTACTAGCACCAATGTTGCGCACGCTCAGCTCCCTAACGTTGAGTGTATATTTGTATACTACGTGTATATGTGAATATTACGTTTTACTATATTTTTACACAACACCTCCTTAAATCTTATGAAACTTTCATTAGATGATAGAGACAGGATACTTGCCGACCAAAACATGCTCAAAGGAAAGACGGGCTTCGTCACAACTCTTAAAGATTCCGGCATCCATGAACTGAACTTGGAAACGAAGGACTACACACGCTTTCGTAACTCCTCAAGGTATGGCTGCACTGGAACGTACGGACAGAGCATTGTGTATAACTCTTACAACAAACAAGTGTACGTGCGTTCTAAAATCAAGAAAATGCAACACTCGCACTAGACTCACTCAGTGGCGCAACAAAAAAATAGTTGATTTCCGGCTATCCGTTTGTTTCTCCTAACGGTCGATATGTTATGATAACTGATGCCATCAATCGAATAGATATTTTAACCGTGAATAAAACAGGATTTAATGCCAGTCACACGAAATTTGCAATCCCCGGTGCAGTTTCTAACCCAGTTTTTTACCCCAAAGGTAACTCATCAGTTAGTTACTACGTATTTTTTTCTCTTGATCACGCGGACAAAATGATGGTCGTTGACTTGGATTTGGCGAACAATGGCAACATATCCGCTGTGAAATATATCGAGGGCGCCAACTCCTTCTTCGGAAGATTTTACAACCTGTTTATCAACGATAAATGGATCATTTACGTAGTAGACGCTGACAACACAGTGGTTATTATTAATGCAGAATCCCAAAAGATTCATGGGAAGATTAAAGGGGTGAACGGAGGACATTGGGCAGTCTGGGTTTCTAGTCCCAGCGCCAGCGCGACTTCGAAGCCCACCATGACCACTACCAATGGAAATTCTGGTATAGGTCGCCCTAGCTGTTTCACTTTTCTTGTCTTTTTGCATGTTTTTATACAGTTGTGAAATAACTTCGACAAACGTTTATAGAATTTAAAATACACATAATATCACTAATAAAAGACATCCTTGGGTATTTTTCTCAATAAAACATGTATTTCAAAGCAATATAATTATACAGACTGAGACAAACGGACTAATAACATTTGAGACGCATTACAGCCAGCTTAATACCATTAGTTCTAAAGCGGTAAAAGATACCGGGGTGTTCAAAAATTGAATAAATTTATGTTGCTGGTTATAAAAACCTTACTTAGTTCATGTTGCTTTTTATTTCGCTGGTATTTTCTAAGCCTTTGGCATGTTTAACTCCTGTTGATGGGGCTGTTCACATTTGCCAACAACAGAATGTTCGGTTGAATTCTACAAGCAGGTTTGCAGCAAAGCTAAATTGATTTTATCTTTGTTTCGCGCGAGTTCTGAAGGCACAAAAAGTTGCGTCAGGACATGGCAATCAGACAGTCCCTCCAGTATATTCGCAGAAGTCTGCAATGAATAACTTGATGATGTAATCTACTTTTTATGCTTGGAATAAAGCAAAGAACTCTAAAACAACTGGAGCGACAACTCCAATGACACGTTAAGTTTTTGAATTAATTCCTATATATAACGTCTTGCAGTAAATCTGTTGAGGAAGCGAAGCTGACCTTGAATTTTGATCTCAAGTTGCAAAAACACTTCGAGTGCACTTCGAATAGACAAATTATTTAAATATACGTGGGGCATATTCTAATATTTTTCCTTCACATCCGAAAACTGAATATCTTGCGAAAAGTATCAGTTTCCATGGGCTGAAAAAAATGTAGCACATTGTCACTGACGATACACTAGACATACTGTAAAGGTTATAAAGTATACCCGCTATGGGAATAAATTATTTTAATTATGCAAAATTTATCAAAAACATGTGTATACAGATGCTTTCATCCGTATTTAATATACTGCGAATATCTGCAGTTGACCAGCAACTTCTTCTTGTGACTCTAATCTACCAACGGTGTTGTTTTCAAATGTTAATAAATATCAAATACGAGTTGTAAAAATTTTGACTAACTCTAAATACTACTGCACTGATTAAGAGTATATATATGTTATTCCCCATCGACTTGGTCGAGCAAATTATGAACTAAGGGACGAAATTTAAATACTTTTACATACGTCGAACTATATTAGCTTATTAATGAACGTTTTTAGAATATTAGAGAAGACTCCGTTAAATTGTACATAAACATTGTAAACTACCATTAAAAGCACTGTTCTGAGACTATCAATTACGTAATAATATTATTTACAAATTTAAAATTCATCCTTCCTTCGAATTTAAGGTCCATCCTTAAAAACGTTTTGAAAGTTACTCAATGTTTTCCAAAGTCACGATCATGTCGATGATTTCTTCACACGACTTTTTCTCTATTTCAGCGACGTAACTACCTTCTTTTATCAGTTTCCTTGCCATCTCAACAGTAACGTCCGGATGTGCAAGATTGAATCTGATTTGTTTGAGCAACCACAAAGCATGTTTATGCCTTTTTTCATTCCACTTTAGCTTTCGTTTTAACTCTTCCCACTTTCTTTTCCCTTCTTCTTTCTCTTCGAGGCTTAGATCTTCACTTTCTAGAAGATGTTTCATTGATTTGAGATAAGCAGTGCTTCCCTTTTTTTGATTTGGCAAGACGTAATCCCAAATCTTCTCCTCGAGTTCCCATGCGATCTGCCCAAGTTGTAGCCTCTTCTTGGCCTCCAACAATTCACGAAGACTCTTCATCTCATCATCCAGATCTTGATTTTTCTTATTGACTGACTCAACCATCTCCCTTAATTCTTTATTATCGTTCTCCACTATTTCCATCCTTTCTAACAATATGGCGATATCTTGTCGTAGCTTATCATTCTCTGCTGTTACCATTTTTAGACGTTCATTTAGTTGATTTCGAATCGCATTCGGGCAAGTTTCTTTCTCTATCTTTGCTATTTCTTCCCGAAGATACTCGATCTCGCTGCCCAATTTATTTATATCCGCGGCTATTTCTTCGACCTTCTTTTCAAGGTTATCAGGCTGCAGTAAATCTGTTTTTTCATTTATACCTTCTGCAGCCTGAGCAAAAACAGAAGATGTTTTTTCTTTATTTTCTGGCTTCTCTTGTTCAGCTTTATCTGCCGTGTGTGCAATTTCCTGGTGTTCCTGCGCAAAAGTTGTTTTTGCCTTTTTCCCCAGCCTTTTTCGAGGGGTCGAATCGTCTATTGGTATTTGAAAAGGTACATGCTGATTGGGACGCTTCGTGCTAGAAGTCTGAAAAAAGAGATTGGATTTGTTAGTTTCAGTGGATAGGGAAATAGCTTGGATTATATATTTTCCTTTAAATAATACAAAGTTCAAGTTCTCAGTATTACATTAAAATGTTATCTAAAAATATGTACGGAAAAACACGTACTACATGTAATTTGCAATCGAGAGGAAATCTTGCTATAATTCAGGGAAAATTACAATGCAAAATTGCTTCACGCTGATTGGGAGAATTTGTGTCTTTGCACAGCAACAGTCCATTCAGCTGAAAAGGAACGGCTTCTTTCGAAATAAATAAACTGAATGTACTGCCAAACATCCAGGTTGTATAAGCTTCAAGCGAAGGTGGACGTGAGGAAAACATCGCGAATATTCACTGTTGACACGAGTCTACAGTACAAAGGGCGGTGAAATTACAGGTACAATAATTATAAGAAGACACTTATATCAGCCGTAGAGTAATGGAAATACTATCATAGTGAAATATCATTATGAATGTGTAAAATTTGGAATTAGTATCACTCCCAAACTAAAGTTAATCCCACATTTTAGTCGTCTCCATGAAACCTATACACATTTGAATAATTAAAGATTTTTGAATGAAATTTTGTAATAAAACCAACATTCCGTCCCATCTCCCTTACGCCGATCCTCTCAAAAGTAGCGATAGATGGATCGGGAGCCTCGGGGAGAGTCGCGCCTAGACATCTTGAACATGCACTACAATTAACTGGATAACAGATTTCCTGAGTTAAATTTAGAGAAGTCTGCTTTTCAGAATGGGGAAAAATGTTCCTGTTGGTGTTCCACAGGTCTTGGTCCTTGGCTTTTTGTTCGATCTAAATACAACCATGCAGTGTTGACGATCATTTAAATTTGTAGACGATGTTATGTTACAATATCAGAATCTCTGCCGAAAATCGCCCCAAGTAACCATCCAGAACGCTGTCACGGATATTCAGGAGTCGTCTGAGGCAAATCACCTCTGACTTAAGGCTTAAGCCCCTGTTACACGGCTGCACAACGAATTCATCCTTTCGAGCATTTCCAAACACGATGAATTTATCCGCGATGTTTTTGGCTCTTTCAATCATGCTGCATTTGTGCCGTAGTTTAATCGTTTATAGTGGTATAAGCCAAGATGAGTGAAGAAAGTTGTTATCCCCCGAGAGCTTCGGTGAGCGCGATAGACACAGCTTCTAGACTTGGTATATGGGCTGGCTATATATAGTTCTCTAAATAGCTGTATTTGCTACCCGCATATCCGCGCACAATCGAATGTTACCCGGGAAACCCGATCCATTAAAACTTTCGCAGGAGGCGTTTTAACTGCCTGTAAATTGTGGCTATCAAAAAGTTCTTCAATGTCAGCTGCTTACTTGTGTCTTGCTAATTTGTGGCTTGCCATTTTGAGCCGGCCTAACTGATAAACAAGATTATTAATTCACACGATTCGTTTCTGCCGTGTGCAAGCTTCAAATCTTTTGTGCGAGACATATTTTGTTTAGTATTTATAAATCTTTTTTCTCATCAAGTTTGAAGCCTCGGCTAAGTCCTACCAATTTCCGCGGTGTCGGAATTACGACTAATTGTATTGTGTTCAAGTCCCTAATAACGTAGACAAAATGACTAAAAAACAATTTTGTTATGCGTAAAGTTTCCACTCATTAAGAATGAGCGAGCTGTTTGAATACAGGGAATAACTCTTCATGAATCCCAAACCGTTTACTCGAGTGTTAGGATTTGGCGCCTCAGAATATAGTTGTTCTTAGATAAAGACTAAGTCTAAAGGCTGAGTATACATAGGCACTTCCAGTATTATAAATTTCCATCTATACACTTCCTTTCGTATTCTGTTATTAACTATTTTCAAGGCAACTTTTTGGGTTGTATAATATTTTGTAGGAATGAAAACAGAAGAGCGTATAATTGTAAGTATATGAACGGCAGGCCGGATCATTTGTTGTAGCGAAGTAGCAAATCAAATTTCATCCTATATATTGATCTTGAAATTTATATTTCAACGTTTGGAAAATCCCGAAGATAATACAGATTAAAATTTGAATACAATAAACAAATATGAAAGTTTTAGGAAAAATTAAGTAGCAAATCGTTGTCATAATTTTCAAACAGAAGCTACTGCATAACCACATACTATAGTATTTGTCTCTATTGGAAACTAAGAAGCACTTAAACAGAAATGATGAGTACTTACCATTGTTGAATTCCAAGTTGTGAAAGGGGCTGTTCCGGAAAAAATGTGCAGATAAATATTCGTTAAACTTTACGGGGAAATGAGGACTGTTACAGACAGTGAAATAGTCTTTTCCAATGTCTGTGGGCCAATTCGCAATTGATATATGCATATATGCAGTCAACATGCACATGCGACGTCATGGTGACACCGTAGCTATGTAATATTAATATTATTATTATCATTAAAATTGACTCTTGCACATAAATTTCCAATCTTTGAATTAATAATAGCTGATGATCCACCAGATCAAAAGTTTTTCGTAGATCTTAATTTATCACTCCAGCTAAATCACGAGCAACTAAATCCATATGCTGGCAGTCTGACATATGTGGAAAGCACGAAAACCAGATTTATAGTTTCAGTGGACAAACAATCCAAAATTTGCAGTGCTTGAAACGTACGTTTACGTATACTTCATACTTAACGAAAGTGTAGCAGGGGCATACAAAGGCAGGTGTAACCAAGGAGAAAAAATAGAATAGTGAATAAATAGAAGTACTGGACGATGTTGAACAAATACTGCTGTACCGAAGGCAGAGGCAAAAAATGGATTTCGGTTCAACCATTAGATAAATAACGATGCTTTGAAAAAATACCTGAGTTAAATAGCAGTATCACGCCACAAAGATATATTAAAATCCTAAATATATTAATATATATTTTGTTCATCATAACATTAGTAACGTTGCGAAAACTTGTCTTGGAAGTTTACTTTTCATTATGTGCTATATGTATGTTATGTTGTACAAAGTATTGCGATAGACATATCAGACAGCTATCATATATATCAACAGAGACAAATTAGTAACATAGCATGGTGGCAGTGGAAGTTAAAATCGACGAAGTAGCCCGTATGTTACAGTCTCATCAAGTTCAATTAAAAGATATCATTATGGTTCATTATTGAAATATTTATAGACGCAACGAACGTGTGGCTCTACATAAATGAGAATACAGCTTCCCGCCTAAACCGTTTCTGTTTTGAGTGCCCAATCGTTACATAGCTGATTTGAGAAAAAGGGATGTCAAATTTACCAAATTTCTGAACGAACATCAATCCTATCACGCCTTCTCAACCAATCCAAATCCAAGACCTTACAACTTTCAAAACAGATCTCATACAACTTTCAACTTCGCATTCATCCTTGACTCACATGACTTTTTGGACCAGGAACTGGTCCCTAACCGCTGCTAATCTTCTTCTTCTTCTTCTTCTTGTTAGGGGGCGACGCTCTTTAAAAAAACCCTAAGGCTCTATCATTACTTGTTTGATCGAAATGAAACTTGGCACAATTATTCTAAGCAATATTCCGCATCAATTGACGGAGTTCGAATTTTTACTTTTGACCTTTGAAGCAAGTTACAAGCAATTCTTGATATATTTGCAGCAAATAATATATACATATCATTAATATTCAGCCTATATATAAGTTAACCGGGAAACGATTAGAAATACATTGTCCTCTCCATTGTTATAAATACAATGCAGTTCAGAAATTAAACTCGGTTACGCAGTTCCTGGTCCTTATAGTACGATCGTACTTGTTTCGCCAATGAGTGCCAGATCCCTGTTAAGGATCTGCATCTATCTGTCCAATGCATCAGGCTGCATTGATTGATTATACAATTTACGTCTTTGACTGACAAACTATGTCTTTTCTTTATAGACTCAGCTTTGTGCCGGTGAGGTATAATTATTATTCAAATAAAAATTGGGAAATGGGGAAATCTTAAGTTTGGGGAAAATACCCTGACTGCAAAGGTCTATAACTGGTACATTTTACTGACTCTCATAATAATCTTTTTATTTCTTGTTCGACTCCATTTTTTCCTATTGACTTGCAAATTTTTGCTAGCAAAATTAGATGACAGTCAGGGTACGAGTCAAGTAAATACCATGCCCCGGGTAAAACACCCGTGATACGAGCTGTCCGAGACTTGGTATCCGCTGAAATATAGGCTACAGTGGTCATGCGGTATGAAACAAGTTCGTGATTGGACAAGTTTGTTGTGAGGTATAATATTAGTCGAAAACAGTATTGTTGTCAACTTTGTTGAAATTGGATATTGTATTGTATGTATTCGTTTAATGCACCTCAAATTTTGATTCCTTTTCATTCAATTACTTTTGGCCGGCAAGTGCCCGATAATAATTATGGCATTTCAAAAAAAATCAACAATATAAACTCCAAAAATTCCCACAACAACCGATTCGTTTGAGATTTCTTGGATTTTAATCAAGGTCCAGAAAAAAGTATTCAAGTGCCTCAGTTAACGGTGGATGACTCGGCATTTTCTCCAAGGCAGAAACCAACACATTAACAGCCTTTTCTTGGTTTCCAACCAGTTTGTACGCATACCCCACGATAGAAAGAATAAGAGAATACTCCGAAGACGATTCCAAGCGAGAAACATAGTTCTCCAGTTCGAGAGCAGATTCCTGTGCCTTCTCCATCTGATTTGTTACCACGTATGCCGTACATAATTGATAGTAAGCGAATACTTTTAATGGCAAACTGATCGAGCTAAGAGCTTCGATTTCACGAGCAAGATGTGCATCTAATAACGGCTTGTCTTCCTTGTTAAATGATATTGATGTATCCTCGGGAGTTTCGATAACATTCAGTAAGTATTCAATGGCTTCGCTGTGGCAATCGCACTTGCAGAGAAACAAGCCATAAGATGACTGAACAAATGGAACAGGTTTTGCTATCTTTTCAAAACATCTCGCATACAGATCAGAAGCCAATTTCATCCAATGTGTGTACAAAGGTTGGTCCTCCTTGGCCAGCAGAGCTTTTGTTTGATAAAGTTCTGCTAAAGTTCCGACCAAGTCCTGCTGAGATTCCAGGCTTTCGTCGTTCTCCAAGCATTTCTCGTAACATTTAATCGCACAATCGTAGCGTCCACGTCTCGCACACAACTTTCCTAACGAACGCATAACGTAAGAGCGGTCTGCAAATGAATATTCTTCAAGTACAGCACATTGTTTCTCAAATTCTAAATCTAAAATTTGTTTTTGTTCGTGAAGTATCTCCAAGAATAAGACAAAATACGAAGCACATTTGTCGTGATTGCCTGTTTGAATTAATGTATTTCCAACAATATGCATGCAATCCAGTTTTAAGACATTCTTCTCGGTCGAATCCAGTTCGCTAACGGGGGATTCAACTGACTTCAAGATATCAGAACAATATTTTAGAGCACCTTCGTAATGTCCCGCTTCATAATAAAACTTGGCTAGATTCAATGGCGATAGCGGAAAGTCACGATCCTCCAGTTTTCCATCATCTATGAGAAATGACAATTTCCGATGACAGGCAGCAAGAAGATAGGAATTCACTGAGGGCTGGACTCCTAAAATACCATTCAGATCGCGTTGAGTTGATAGGTTTTCACAAGTCGTAATCGCGTCACTTGTCAATCCTAACTCAGCATAAACAAACACAGCCACGCTGCACACCAAACTTGCAAATGTTGTCATGCATTCGCCATGTTCCTCGATATAGCCTTTTATCGCTGGACCATAAAAGAATCTTGACGAAAATCCTAAAACTACAGGAACATTCGCTAACTTATCATGCATTTCCAGCAACGGGTAAAGCAACCCAATGGCTTCTATAAACTCATTTTCTTCCAATAACCAGCAAGCAAGACTTAGCTTCTTACACAACGATGAGGAATGAAAATCCATGTTTTCACCGGTTTCGTAATACTCTCTTGCCAAATCCCTTTCCCGACTCCTTTCTTCGCCGGTGTTGTTATTAGCATGTACCCTGTGCGCATGACCAAGATGTAATTCCATAAATGCTCGCCTCCGTTGGTCTTCAACAGAATCAGACATACATTCAGCGGCTGTTAAAGCAGTTTCATAAACGACAATTGCTTCCGTTGCACGTTCGATCTCCATGTATAAAAGTGCCAACGAAACCATAAACCCGTAAACCGTAACGACATCACCGTGCTGTTTAAGAATTTCTCGTTTACACATATCGATGGCCCGTTGAAATGAATCATTATCAGGTGAGGCAACTGCTTCTGTCGTGGCGATGGCGTCGAGTAACGGTATTAATTCTTCATGAAGAGTTGCTATATCCATCCGTTTTGAGGTTACAAAGGCTGAGAGTGATTTCGCCAACCAGCTAATGGAAGAATTAGTTTGTTTATTCAAAACAAACGTACGACCAATCCACGCATACAAACGGCAGGAGATTTTGAAGAACTCCAAGTTACCTCCCTCCCAGGTGGTTTCTGTATACGTTTCAAAGCCAACAGCAACGTCCAAGAGGAAACTCTGCATGTCAGTTAGGATGGCTTCTGCTTCTTTATTCTTATCCAATCGTTGCAGAATACTAGCGAGCAGTAGCTGAGTTTCACACCTTTCCGCGAAAACGTCTCCATTTTTCCCAAGACTTTCTGTTATATCAATGTAGTTTGATGCATGATCGGCTGCCTTCCCGGCAGCAAGCCCTTGCTGACAAAAAGACGCTGCTGTGTTCAGGTCATCGTCAGTCTCCTTTAAAAAAAGAAGGCATTTTGCACTTAGGTGGTAAAACTGCATTGTTTTGAGAGGTGGGACTTTGTCAGGTTCCAGTTGTGTTAACGTGACTATGCCACTTTGGCAGACTTGCCAAGCATCTTCCAACTTTTGGCACAGAATATGAGATTTGATCAGCCCAACAAGCGCTTCCAAATATGCTAAAATACCACCGGGGTCTTGCAATCCGTAACTTGAATAATAGTCGGAAGCTCGGGTGTAGTTAATAGCAGCGAGCCTGTAGTCTCCTTCCAACAGATAACAGTCACCGTTGATTTTCGAAAACCATCCATTTTGTCTATCATTTTTTGGAAATTGAGCAGCAAAATTCAACCTGCTACGTAAAGATTTCGTTTTGCATTTTTTCATTTCTTCCTCTGCGTTCGACAGAAGCTTTTCAATCACTGTATTAGGCGGAACAAGCTTGACGAACGACTTGACTAAGGTAGAAATCTTGTCGTTTGTTTCCATGTATTTTTGGAGTTCGCCTTTCTGCAAAAACTCGTTGGCTGAATCTGTCAACTTCTGAATCACAGGAAGCATCGTACGCATAGCTTCGTATTTTTGTTGCAAATCTTTCAAAATTTTTGTATGGGTCTCGACAGATTTGAAATCACCAATTAAATCTGGCGATAACTGCGTAGAAAGTGGACGTTGCTGTCCTTGACAAGAACCATTAATCGCCGTTTCACCGTGAACTGCCTTTTGAGGCATTTGAGAAGAAGAACAAGCATATGCATGTTCAATGTCAATGTCTTTGTTTTCTTTTGGTTCGACCGATGTTGAAGGACCATTACCTTTGTCGCCATTACCAGAATCTAAATCGGAATTATTTTCAAAAAGCTTAGCTGTCGCTGTTTTGAAACGTTCAACTAACGGGCTCGCGGAGTGCAGCGAGGCATCGCCATATTCAAAGATTTCCTTATCAAGAACTTGTCCTACCATGTATTTGTAAATGTCAATAAATGATGCTGGGTGCAGTGAGGCAATGCCAGACCTATTTGCCGAGTTACCATCAACATTTCCTCCATTTCTGTTCTTGCCTTCTTTAACGAGATCGACACTAGCAGTTTCCTTACCCATTAACGCAGCCACGGAGTCCTTATCCCGTTTAACGGTTTCGGAAACTCGGACATCGTTGCCTAGTTCATCATTTTTAGCAGAATTCTTTGCATATCCCGATGCATGGACGAAATCACGAGACGAACAATCAAACAGAACTGATACCGATTTTTCGCTGCGTCGGTACAGGTGTAGTTTCACTGTCGTTATTCTTCAGTTCAACACGAGAGAGCAAAGAACTTAATACGCTACCATTGCCTCCTCCGCCCGTTAACAAGCTGGAAGCTACGTTGAAGGCATTAGCCAAAAGATCCTCTGCGCTGTTATCAGTAACAGCTCCATAACCTGTTTCAGCGACTTTTTCTTTCACTTGATCCATAAACGACGTTCCGCTGTTCGAAAACATCGAAGAAACAAGGTTCTTGGCCGAAGGGAGTATTTCCACCAGATCATTCAGGGTTAGCGCTTCACCAGATGTAACCGGGTTTTCGCCATAAACATTTCTACAGAACTGTCTTAAAACTTCCATTGAAACAGGATTTGGCGCCTCAGCTACGTCGATGTGGGGTGAGTATTGATCATACAGTGATATGAACCGAGGTAAGAAGGACAACATGTCAACGCCGCTTCCATGCAAATACTGCGGCACAATCGAATCAAGAATATTCTTTACTTTACCCCGTGTACTATGTTCGTCAAGGAATGCATACATGTCGCTTTCATCAGTAATACTTACTGGCAGAGATTGTAACAATTCAACAACAGCATGCTTGTTATTGGGCTGTTCTAAAACCTTTCTCATTTTGTTACACACGACCTGACTGGACGATCTATTTCCAGGAATTCCTTGATCCTGTATTTCCTCGAACAGCTCAAGTGCAATTCCGTTAAGCATCTGGGCTCTCTCGTGGTCACGATAACACCAGAATATTAAAGAGAGAAATGTAAAACAATGAGCGGCATTGGCTTTGACCGTCACAGAACTCCTCGCAAATCCATCGTCGTTCGACCCACTCTGAAACAACTCGAGAAGAAGCTCACTGGTATCTTTACTGGTTGAGGAATTCAGAAAAAGTAAAAAGGAGAAAAATACAAGTCGACAACAAATATGTGGATGAAAAGGGTCTGTCATATGTTCCTCCATCTCAATTCGTATGGAACGTTCTAGGATATCGAACCCAGACGTATATTCACCTTTTAGAAAATAACAATAGAACAGCCGAACAATATTAAACTGACGATATCGCTGCCAATCACGGACTTATCGAACACGTCACTTATTTGCAAAGCTTGCAATAGATGCTTTTCCATCTCTTCAACGTCAATGGTCGCGTATTTGCCAGCGAGTAAAAGAAAAAGCTCAATAAGCAGCGTGTCGTAGTTCCCTCGTGTGGAATACTGCTGTAGCAATGAGCCAGCGCTCTCGTAGTGTTTACGTTGGGCTGCGACACGTTGTTCTTTCGTCACAAAAGATTCGTACTCTTTATCATTCTTTCCAACATTTCCCTTCGCACATAAATCCCCAAGCTTCACTTCCAACGAAAATTCTGTAAATGGGATATTTGTGAGGGACATTGTGTTTTCTTTGCACAAACGTAGTGCTTCGTTACAACAGTTTAAAGCTAAGTGGATTTCACCGAATCTCTCCCATCGCTCTCCGACCTCCCTTAACATTTTACACTTCTTATGCTTGTCATTCATGGTTGAAAGATGACGCTGCGCATCCTCCAACCTTTTTCGTCCTTCCAACGGTTTTCCATTTCCAACCAATACGTCGGATACTTCCAGAAGGCATTCAAGTACACCATCAACAGAATTCTCATCTGGTGTGATCGGGAAGTTTTCTAGTGCATCAAGATAGTATTTTTCAGCCTCTACAGTCCGATTATTGTGGTTAGATATTCGGCCAAGGGTTACTAAGCATGGGGCTTTTCTGCCTGCATAGGCCTGAATATCGGCATGATGTATTTCTTCATTCAACAATGATATGCTTTCGTCATTCATTCCAACCTCGTGAAAAGTCATAGCAACGTAGCATGACATGGTCATCCTTGATTCGATCGATTTGATTCGTGACAGATACTCCCTCGCATTTTGAACAGACTTTTTAATTTGTTCCTCGTTTTTCAAAGAGTGCCATAGTTTTGCCATCTCGCAGTGGATAATGCAATCAAAGTTTTGCTCTATGCCATAATTTCGATCAGTTGCTAATTCCAAGGCCTTCTCAAGATGAGTTATCGCTTCTTCGCGACGATCCATACTTGAATATAATATTGCTAGTAGTAGGTAGGCATGTTTATACATGAGTCGTGGCCTTAGCCCGCCAAATGAATCGAATTGTTGCAGCAATTGATGCAAGTAAAACTCCCCTTCCTTAAACATGAATAATTGCATAGAAAGCATACCAAGTTGATACAAGGTTTTCATAACATTCAAATTAGGACTAGTCCCATATAATGTCCGTTCCATAGTCAGACAACGTTGTAGACAATTGTATGATTTGTTGTAATTCCCTTTCATTGTGAAAATTTCTGCAAGCTTGTTTAAGCAAGAAATACTTTTTGTACTAATACCTTCGTCGTCTATCATCGCAGATAGTATGGTAATGGCGGAATCGATGGTCGAACTCAAAATCGTATGAGCATAAAAATGTGAAAAGGCAAAGTCGGCCATAAGCAAATGTGAATGCTCCATATTTTCGATGGCCATGCAACGACTTAAAAGCTTTTCAGCCAATTTGAAATACCAACTCGAAGACTCAAAAGCCGACAAAAATATTAAAATTTCCAACAGCTGGCGGAGCACGGTTTCTTCTACCGAAGTAAGAAAACGGTCAAGTTGTGCATCGTTTGGTGAGACTTCGCTTTCTTTGGGGCAAGGATCATCGAAAATCTTTTCAAGTAAACCATCTACCTTGTTTCGTATCGACTCTGTGTGCTCGTTTATGATAAGCATCAACCTGATTTGTCGAATTTCCATATTTACATTATCTGGATCGGTTTTCAAAGCCAGATCATAACACTCGACTGCTTTAGTATAGTCTAAAACACGGGAGTAGATGTTAGCTTTGACTTCGCTGCTGCAATCAAAAAACACGTCTTGAGATAATTCTTTGAAGTCTTTCTTGTGCGAGAAAACGCGACACAATTCTTCGTACAGTGGAATAGCGACGTAGAAAAAATGGAAAAGTTCTTCATTTTGTGGCATGTGAAAACCTTGTATTGTTTCATCTGATTCATCGCTGGGCTTCGCTCTCAGCTCTTCGCCCTGTTTCCCAGCTTTAAGATACGTACTTATTCGAAGCTTCAATGCAATTGCTGAAGCACTTGCTAAATTATTTCGAGCGTCCGGAGAGATTAAACCTTTTTCAAGCAATTCATCAATAATATCGAATGCCCCATTCGCTTGTACATGAAGACACTTCGCCATTCCCGAAATGACACGATCAGTTAACCGATAAATCTCTTTCTTAACGTCGTACAGTTTTCCTTCGTCGAACTCATTGTAGCCAGTCATCGCAGCGTCTCCATAACGAAATAAATCCATGTGAAGAGCCTTGAATCCTCGACACGCTTCACGTGTTGAAGGTCTTTCATCACCGTGTTCATGCTTATCACAAGGTAAATTCAAGATGTCATCTATTTCTTTTCTGTACCTGTCAATCAAATCGTGTTTACTGTCTTCGAGGGGTGAAATCGTCATCAAAATCTCTGCCAAACTCATATTCCTCTCGTACCAAACGTCGTTTTGAAATTCGGCCATTCTCTTAGGACTGTGAATCAACTCGAAGTCTTTCATATTGCCCAAAGGTGTTTTGCATGCTTGAGGTAGGAAGGCATCGAAAGACAGCCCCCTTGGTGTTATGTCGTCGAAAAACCAATCCGTTTTCAACGCTTTGATATCCATACTTGGCAAAATTGTTTCTCCGAGGTTGATGATCTGTTTAAACGAAATACGCGAATTCTTACTGCCTGAATGAACATTTTTTATAAATATGTATATACTTTACACGAATAACTTAGCATCAAATGTGGTATAACAACTGCCTAAATAGACAAAACACTTCTCGACGTTTCGACCTGAGGGCCTTCGTCAGGAGAGTTGTCTAACTATCCTGACGAAGGCCCTCAAGTCGAAACGTCGAGAAGTGTTTTGTCTATTTAGGCAGTTGTTATACCACATTTGATGCTATAAGTTGTTTGAAGACGTTGCCACACTGCTCCTTGGTTATATTGGAACTTTAGACGAATACCACTGTATTAGGAAAAGTATGAAACAACAAGTACACTGCTGTTTACATATTTTTAAACTGCATAGTCTTGACAATATTGTAAATTCCCTCCCTTCCCTGGTCGCTAGGTCTTTCTTATAATGACGTCAAACACAAAAAACCTGATCTTACATGAAGTGTCACCGGCTTCGTTTTCGCATTTGAAGTCATTACGAGAAAGGTCTATTCATTCTAGTTTCGCCGGATTTCTTACCTTGAAATGTACAAGATTTGTAAGATTACGAAAGAATACTTTACAATGGTCCTCATCAGAGCTAACGAGTATCGCCCATTCGAGATCAGAAAATGGCGTCATTTCACCTCGAGCGGAAGATCCGAGAACAATGACCTCATAGTAGCAAGGTGGCTCTCCCAAAACGTTTAAGCACTCTTCAATGATCCCAGCAAAGAAATCCTTGAACCCCAACGTTATCATCTCACACAACTCTTTCACTTCAGCACTTTGTTTTACGAAAATGTCGCGATAGTCTAGTTCACTCATGACAGCATTTTCCTTCGATGAATTCTCCCGATCAATGTCGGCTAAACGGCTCATTATTTTTCCGCGTAGCTGTTTTAGTTCATCTCTTTTCCTGTATACATCAAAACTACAGTCGATAGCTTTTCCTCCTGCCAATAACACCATACGGTCCTGAATATCGTGAAGCTTACGCAAAACAGTCTTCGCTGTTTTACTCGATTGTTCCTGTTCATCAACAGTCGTTTTAAGGCAATTGAGAACGAAATTGTACAACGCTGTAGCTTGGAGTAAAAGCCGTTGTCTTTCAAGTAACGGCAGACTTTCGTCGTCCGCTTTCTTCTCGTGTATTTCAGCTAGAAGGATGTAAGGTTCTGTGTTTTTGTCGTTGGAAGTTAACTTTTCCGTTTTTATAGCCAGGGTCAGAGACTTCTCGGCGATATCCAACTCTCCTTTCTCCAAAGCCCGTTTGGCTATTGCCAAAAGTTGATGGGAATCGGCCTAAAAATTTGTACCATGGTTTTCATTTTCATCAATGAAAATTATATGTACATGCATGCATGAGATGAAGAAACTAATCAAAAAGGAAAATGGCGAGAAAAGTTTTGAAGCAGTAAGAATTCTAATACCTGGCTGAAGAAGAAGTAAATAATCGATTTAAAATTTAAAAATACACTACAGCGAGCTTTAGGATGCACCAAATTTACGACGCGCTGCTACGTGAGTCACGAAACATATCGCATTGTGAAAATTATTTTCACTGCTGAGATTTTTATGCCGATGCCTTGCACCCACAGCTATAACTGAAAGAAAGAGCACGTGCTCTAGCGCACATTGTTCTTTGAGAATTCCGACCCGATTTGAACCCTTTCGATGTCTAACTGTCCGAAACTTAAGTAACCACAAAGACTCGCTGGTGTTGCGACGCAAAATATAAAATGAAGAGTCATACACTGCATGGCTATGTATTCTACATAATTATATATCAATAAAAAATGTACTTGCATAAAATAGTTGTATAGTAATTAGTACAGTAAAGTGAATGTCAAAAGCAAAATCTTGTGTCTTTGTGGGTTTCACGTAAGATCATTAAAGATTAGTCAAACGTAAAGGCCGCAATTCACCCTCGGTGTTTCCATTTTCGTTTGTCGCAAAGAAAATTTTCACTACACACAATATAAGTCATTGGCAGCAATTATAAAGAATAAAGAAACTCGTTCGAAAACTCTTGATATTTCGCCAAAAGTAATTTTAGCGCCCATAACTCAATTCTATCGCATTCCGGTATATTCGACATTCACTACCTCTTTATCGTGTCAGTCTGTTTTAATTATACCTTTCCATAAACCAGTTACCCCGGTATTTTGAACTTAATACTGCAGTACCTCTGGAGGGGCATATCTCGATATATTCGACCTTACTAAAGTCGAATATAGCTACCATACTCCAGGTATATTCAACCCTCAATACCATATGCAAGGTCGGATATACCATATTCCGGTATACTCGACCCTACCATGGTCGAATATACCATATTTCGGCATTTTCGACCTTAGCAAAGTGGAATATACAATATCACGGTATATCCGACCTTCACTACCTTTTTATTATGTCAGTTTGTTTCATAGACCAGTTAACCCGGTCGACTATACTATACATCGGTATTATTGCTAATTTCGTATTTATTCTTTGTTATTTTGACTGATACATTGGCATAGTATGCGAGTCAATTTGTATCACAACGCGATTAGACATCGAATAAAATACCGAGGAGACATAAAATCGCGACTCGCTATTGATAAGCTAAAATATTTGAAAAGGTGCAAACAAAAGCGAACAAGACGTTGCTCGGAGCAACGAAGGTTTTAGAGAAACAGACCGAAGTGCATTGTGGTAGAAAAACATCTGTGACCAAAAAAGGCAAAATGCATCGCGCTGGGTAAAATTGGATTCTACTATCGGAGACTACTTCAAATCAATTAGGTCTTCTGAAGCTTTGCTGGGTCGCGTAAGGAGACCTTGTTGCAAAAACACTTAGAAATTCTTCCTTTTCTTGTTTGATTCATACCCGTAAAACAATAAAGTTTTACCTGTGTAATAGTGCTAACACAACATCCACTTTCATCTTCTTGGATGCGTCCAATCAAATCTCTGAAACCTAAAAGCAGTAAAAATAACTAGTATAATATGATTCTTCCTTCCCAGGTCAGAGATGAAAAGAGTGTATGCACTTGTAGTCACGCCTGCTGGTTATAGGCGAATCTTGGTCGCGCGTAATATGTCTTGAAATATACTTTATTTCGGTCTGAAATTTACGTCAGAATTATATAGTTCTTATAACTAAACTTAATCACAAAATGTTGAAATTCAAAGTAATACTCATTAATTAGTAGTTACCCACCTGGCACCGGTTGTATAAAACTGTTTAACTACATTTTGATAGTTTACTAGTTAACTCGGAAATACACGACTCTGATTGGCCAATTCTGTCCTTAACTACAGTTAAACGTTAACTAGTCTTTATACAACTGGCCCCTGCAGTGTAACCAGATCAGGTAATTTTTATTACCATTTTTTTATTACCTGATTTTAAAAATTACCATATTTATTCAGTTACTTTTAACTGAAGAGGTTATCCTGTTTAAATATGTTTAAATAATAATAATAATAATAATAATAATAATAATCTAACTAGATTTGATCCAGCAGCTTTCGTTAAAAAAAGGTGCATATATGGTCACACTGATAAAGTGCATGTGTAGTATGACCAATCTGCCATAGCACTGATGTTAGGTAATAAAGCATTAACCAAACAGAGATGGTAATACCTTTTTCTGAAGCTTGTAAATAGTATTTGTCACCACACAACAAATGCAAAGTCTTCTCAAATTCTATGAATTTTAAAAAAAAATCATATTGTGAAAACATTACATTAAAGATCATACATATTTAATAATTTAATATTATAATACACCCTATGGGCATGACTCCTGAAAACCTTGTAGGAATAAATTATAAATATGTAGTGTACCTACAAAGTGATTAATATAAATTGTTGCTAGCAAATGACAATTACAGAAATAGAATTTACCATGGTCCAAAACAGCTAGGTAAGGCCCACAACTCATATTGTTTTAGGGTCTTCTTGGATCCACCTTAGTTTATGTTAATCACATAAAGGAATCTAAGGAAAGAGAAGCTAGTTGACATTCATACTATTGCCTGTTAATAGGGTACGAAATATAAAAAGCCAGGAGGAAGTTCCTCTAGGTTGACACACACACACTAGTTAATTAGTTTGTATATTACAAATAACAATCAAGGCATTGGTCACACAACCACAAACCGTTTGTATATACTTACCAGCCAGAGGGTTCATGGCTTGATCAACTTTCCATGAACCATGAAACCTCTGGGGCCGGTTGTTCAAAAGCCGGTTAACTCAACCCAGGGTTAACGCAAATTTTTACATCAATTTTTTTCATCGCTTGTTCATATTTTTACCATGAGTATTTTATGGTTCAATAGAAATCATATTTTGTAAAGTTTTGAAACAAGCGGAGGTGCAGAAGCACGTAAACTAAAACAGTGGATTAAAATTTAACCCAGGGTTAGCGCTAACCTAGCTTTGAACAACCGGGCCCTGATATTTATCTTCATTGAGCGTTATGCCTTATTTATAATTATAACTATACCTTATGTATAATTATGCACTTATGTTAAACTGCTGATGCAATACATTGAAGTGTTAATAATTATTCTACAAATAATAGCTAGGTCATTTCATGTTTACCAATCAAGAATCAGTCTTTATTGTTAAATACCAAAAATACCAAACAGTTGTAGGTTAGGCAAATATATCAAATCACTAATTTTCAGCTAATTTGAACCCTGTTGAAAGTTGAAACAACCACGCTGGCAAACAATGGTGATCAGGAAGTTGCACAATGTCTTATGTCTATGCCTAATGTTTGACAAATGAAATAATTAAGGAAGTAGAATTATATTAACAAGCCTACAAACAAATTGTTACGATACTCTTTTAACTTTGATGGTGATATCACAATATATAAAATAAATTAGCTTGTAGTAATTCCATCATGTTACGAGTTTAAAACTTGATATTATATTGATCTACAAATACATTTCGATGACATCATGACAGACTGGTATGTATACATACATGATAAAGAGATTAGATTTTTACGCGTAAATGATAGCTGCTTTGAAGCAGATTGGCTTTTAATGTGTGGTAAAAATGATTACCAGACAAAAGGAAATACCTAAATACAAAACAACAGTTACAACACCTAATTCTCAAGTCAATTAAATAAATAGTTACTTACCTCGAAAGAGTCGAAGACCCCGACTTCCTATTTAGAATACAAGGCTCGCAATATCACATTACAGATGGTCTTGAAGCAAGTTACACCAATATTTACAACCTGTAATTTAGGAAAGGCGATTTCAATATATTAAATCAGGAACTCTTCACTCTTGGCCATTTCAGCATTGCACAAATAAAATTAAACAGGTTGTTATAGTGGTACGCCCAGTGGTGGTCTTGGAATGTCAACAAAGGGGGGAGACTCTTCGATGGCCACCGGGCGGGGAATGCTATTAAAAACCTGGAGCCACTTCTAAAGCATGGTTACTGTAGGCGTTTTTAAAATACCAATTTTAAGTTTTATGCAAGTTTGACTAGTTTATAGCGTTTACTAGGCTCACCTCCCCCCTTCACTGTACCACGGTACCACTAGTTAGGCCCACTGAACTAAATTAGACTGGACTGAGGAGCCAAAACATCCCCGTTCATTGAATTTGAATCGCATCAAAGTCCTCTACCAACAAAGTCCACTTTCTATTAGAAAAACTCTCAGGAAGAGCATCGGTGCTTTGGCAATATTCAATTTTTATGCCGCGTGATATTTTGAGGTTGTTTATCACGTGTGATATTCCTGGCACAATAAACTAAAACGAATCCGAATATTTTTTCGCATTGTCTAACTTTACCTGGTCATAATTGACAATTTTTCTGGGTTTTAATCAGGTTCGTTTTTTAATTAAACCTGTATTCTTCAATCACTTGAAAATGACCTGTGGTCTGAAAAAATTAAGTTGATTTTTTGGCATCTAAAAGTAAAAGTAAAATTCCAGGTGTTGCCTTTCAAGGTTTACATGGGCACGCGACTAGTAATACTAGTTACTGGGTGAACAGATTGTCAACCTTATTTCAGGCAAATGACATCAATATTTACCCTTTTTGAAAAACATGAAAGCATTGTCAACCTTTACAGTTATCGTGAACTGGATCAATAAGAGAAGAAAAGCAAAATACACTAAATCAAACATCCGTACATTTTCTGTGATAGATGTGCGCACAAAGTGCCCATATAAAGTTTAACAGTAACTTCCCTTGTTTCAAAAAATCTAAATATATGTATATCTATCAGTATATAACGAAATGATCAGATATTACATTGAGACATTATAAACTTGTATACTTTGACCACTCTCTTAGGCCCGGTTTACACTGTCAAATTTTCTGCGATCCTAAGTTTCAAAGTATATTTGCTAGAAATATTCAAGGAACTAAAACAGTGGTTAACACTGAGTTACTTCATCGTGATATTCGCTGCAAAACATTTTGAACTGAGGATTTACCAAATAAAAATTTTTAACTGTGAACACAGGAACTTTGTCTTTGACAGTGCAAACCGTGTCTTTAGTGGTTAAAGCTTGAAATTTATACAGCGAAGGTGAAATCTTGACTATCAGATCAGATCTCAAATACGATAACTACAATCCAATCCTGATTTATTTGGGCTGCTTTCCACTGTCGCGTTTTCAGTTACACATGGGTAAAAGCTTAAAACCTTATAAGTTGTTGTATAATTAATTTTATGGATCTGTTCAATCGTTGATTTCATAAGTATCATTTAAATCATTTTAAACTTTTATGTGCGCACGAAAAACGCGACAGTGGAAAACAGCCTTTAAGAAAACATCAGGATGTGCCCTTTTTTCCCCTTGTAAATTAATAGACCTATTCGAAAAAGAGCAAGAGACCTGTAGCGAGTTACACAAGAACGAGGCTAGTCAGGTTTTCTTCTGCCAAAATAAGTCCAAAATAATTTTTTATTTCTGGATTTTGATTGAAAGAAACATGGATTTTGTAGCTTCTGACAGGTCCAGTGAAAAAGTGAAAGTGAACATGATTTTGAAATTCCGAAAATGAAAATCTGACTAGACTCGCTTTCGTGTACCTCGCCACAGACCACTTGCTCTTTTCCGAATAGGTTTATAAGAACTACATTGTTAGAGTATACAATAGAGTACGATAGATACAATAAAGTTCGAATTTTCTGCCCAGACCTTCATACCAAAAAAATGTAAAAAGGTCGAGAATTTTCAAAAATCATTCTCCTCCAGCATTCTCTTGAACGCTTTATGTAATGTGCAGGATATGGACCGAAAAACACTGGATGAAATATCTGTATTATTAGCGTACAGTAACCCACTGATCTATATATCTTAACTTACAGTTTAATGAACTATATACTAAAATATACAGGTCAGTGGTATCCATACAAAACATTATACAAGATATGTTTCATCCAGTTATTCGTATGTTCAAATGTGTTAATAGGAATAATAAATTTAGATCAACATTGCCCTTTGTAGAGGAAATTCTAGCATCTAGAAGTATGGAAATGGTCTTATATTCTGCTCCGCAGTAAACAATATATGCATATACATATGTTGTCTTTTACGGTGATTTTATAGTGAATTATAAAATTTTCATGCGAGAGATATAACAAAACGATGTCGAGTCCTTCATTCGGCGGCGCGATATTTTACTGCTGTTTACTTTTTAATGCAGCACGTCGCCCGGTCACAGCCTGGTAACCAGACTTAATACTGGCGACCGAGCATCTTGAGCCGCAAGTTTCGCACTGCAAGAAGTATAACCTCGTCTCTTTTTGTAGAATTGTTTCAGGAGCTCGGCACGTATGGCACGTCACGTATTCCTCTGTAAAATAACAGGAAATATATCGTGAATAACAGTAACTAACTAACTGAACAGCAATCGAAACATCGATTATCTTATCAGGATTTTAGTACGAAGCCCAAGGGAAGGGAATCCACATCGGTCAAATTCTCACAATTGAAAAAAAACTTAAGCAAAAATTTCGTCTAGAGCATGAGAACCTGCCCTAAGAGAAACACATGAAGAGAAACATTACGAAAGAGATATTTTCCGCAACAATATTTCCTATTCTGCCCAGGGTCACTGTATCATTCGACATCAAAGAATAAATTCGAAACCACACAGCTTCACTAGCCTTTTTTCTAATGGTTAAAATATTTATTATTTACAATGATTACTTACTGATGTATCTTCTCAGAACACTTTCAATTTGTTTCTGCTGGAAACGTCCTTTGATGATGAGTTGGTTGTTACTGTCGATAGATCCACTAAGAGGAATGAAACATAAACGATATAAGCAAACGATAAACCATAAACGATAAAAAATCCTACGTAGCTACAAATATAGTGTAATAAATGATAAATAGCTATTTTGTCAATCAAAAAAACTTGTTTATTAACTACAGGTAAAGTGATTCCCTATCTAGTAATCCCAGGCTTAAGTTCTGGGTAAAGTTTAATTTCGAAATTCCGGGTCAAAATATGACATCCGTAACCTCCCCCAGTCTCTACTCTATGGTACAGAATACATCCTTTACCTAGTTCACAAGAACTGAGAAGAAATGTGGCAATAATTTTGTCCAAAAACAACGCGAAAGCTTTGTTCAAATACTAGAAATTTACCAAGTGCGAGTTTCACCTTAATAATGAACACTGACCTCGTTCCTAATTCAGCGAGCAAATATGCAAGCAAGTGTTTCGGTTGTCTGTGCAAACTAGAAGAAAATACGATGCATAATAAACAAACACATAAAAATTTCAATAAACTTCCTTAATGCCTAACCACGTGCCTATACTCTACACTTACATTTTGCAGATGTCGCCGAAGTTTGCGAAAGATGTTTTCTTCGTTCCGATTTTGAAGACTTGGGGTGGTCTCATGATGAACTTCCGTTTCTCGCCAGCAACAACATCAGGATTCTTGTCTTTCATGGTCTTGAAGACCCTTGTCAACAACTGCAATAATGACAATTGGTTAAATTTCAGGAGTCTATAATATTCTCAGAGTGGACACCCAGGCCCGCAAGGCATCACCTTGGTACCAAGTGAAACAAAATGATAATGTCTTTCTGATTTAAGCTGGATCAGTATCTTTCGTCCTGAACAGGTTTTCGGACGGACTTTCTTTGTCCCATACAAGTTAATTTCACAAAAGCTGGAGCGTGTCAAACTTGAAAGTTACATATGTGTATTATAATGTAACTGGTCAAAAACGATTTTCACTGAACTCAAAAAAGTTGACCAGTAACTTTGAGTGAAGATATCTTGACATGGCTCAAAATAACGGCCAGTCAAGGGGCTATGACCTGCCGAAAATGCTTGGTGGTCTTTTCCATGCCGGTCATTTTGACAGGTCAAATTTGATTGATAATTCGCTTGGACTATTTATCAACACCCAAATTTGACTCGTGTTTGATCAAGGTTTCCATACATTAATCTCTTGAAAAGCACTATGCTATTAACAGACACTATATAGGCGAATACGGGTGTCTTAGTTCTCAATTTCGTCAGGTTGATTTTTGAAAACTGTGTGAATTAGCGACCAATGAGGAGCCTTGAGCAGTCACTTTCACCGGAGATATCTCAGCCTTGATTTTGAGCCTTGCTTGGTTGTTTGTAAAACAGTTGACTGAACTACAATCTTTTTGGGAAAATAAATAGAATGCCATCATAGTGCCCTTTACCTCTTCATAAGTGTATTCCCTGTCAGCGTAATCTGGCTGAGTCCCCTCTTTCTCCTCTTCATCCACTACAATAAAAACACACATCATCATTAATATGGACCAAATTACCACATATCACATAATGACATGTAGGGGTCCCAAACATTAGAAATATAGGTACAGGCAAGTTACCTTGCTCGACAACTTCGTTTTCTTTTGCCTATGAAAGGTCAAAACATACTGTTAGATAAACTGTATCACAGTTGAATCATGGTACATTGCAAAGACAGCCACTGATATATCGGAACTGGATAACCAAGGAAATAAATCGACTTTGACCACTTTGAGTAATTTTTAACAGTTTTATTTGCTTTATGCAGTGGTCACTGGTCACTGGTCAAAGTCATACTATTTTCAAAGTTATTCTGGGTTATATTACATACAGTTCGAGTCTTTTTCTTCTTCTTCTTCCCAGTAAAGTCAAATGTTTGATCTTTCTCTATTTGATCCTCTCTCACCCCATTTTCTTCTCCATTTTCAACAGGTTCCTTTGCCATCTCCTATCAAACATACATTCCCAAATCAATCAAAGAATAAAATACCACATTTAATGGTCTGAGTGCTAACTACTGTATATGTTACACTAAAGCTGAATAATAGAACTCCTTCATAATGACATCAAAATCTGGATAAAAATGCCTTACAAAGTTTGATTTGCTCTACTAAACTAATCAAATTTTGTACTATATCAGGCTTTTCACATTGACATTATACAAAAGCTATTTCTTGTTAAACTTTTTTCGTTGCTCATCAGAATTACTTCGGAAGCCTAACCTCTATATCCTCCTGTCCATCCTCAAATCCCTTCTTCTTCTTCTTCTTTTTCTTTTTTTTCATAGATGAGAAATCATCAAAATTCATGTCATCATCTGTTATGTAAGAAACAATTACATGAGATTGCAGAAATGGTCATCAATTCTTAAAACCAACTCTGATACTATTACTAATGAATAAAGCAACATTAACTATAGACCTATTGCACTGATGTCATAATCAGTAAAAGTTGTCCCCTACAAGTTTCCTTGTTTCACTAAAAATAATCGTTATGTCAGCGGTGAAGGTTGATATAGGGGTCAAAAGCAGTTAACGAAGCAAACTTTCTCACACTAGTAAATATTTCTACATTTTGCCCAAATTTACGTTTTTGCAAAATTTATGCTACGTTAATTTGTCCTCCAGATGCCTAATGTGATGTCATGTGCAAAGGGTCTAGTAAAAACATGGCCAGAAAAACAAACTTTGAAGGCCCAGAATAAAGAGACATTTAACAGTGAAATACACATTACACAACCTTAAAGGATGAGACAGCACTACACAACTGAATTGCACTTGCATGTGAAATGTATGTTTATAATGTTATATATGTATGCTTATAATATATATTTCAACTACATTTTCAGGTGTTACATCATATCACTTCAACATCAGGTACATTACAAAACAATGTATGATGAAACAGTCCTAAACAAGGAATTAAATTGCACTTGCATGTGAAGAACATGTTTATAATGTTATACAGTATAGGTTTTAACTACAGTTTCAGTTATTACATCATATCACTTAAAAAAATCAGGTATTTCATCATCCTCACCCAATATACAACTTTCAATTAGAGAGCGGATGGGGAGTGTAAAGGGGTAATTTACTTATACATTTCTGCAATCATAACTGTGTTAAACAGGGGTCCTTCAACGACCACCCTTGTAATAGTAAAAGGGAGCTATATAGATACCGTAACAAAGTGTATGTTCTTAGTTCTATCATACAACAAGAGAGGACATATTCCTGCCTGCTTATTTTTAAATTGAAAATGAAATCAAATCACCCAACACTGCAGGCAGTTTTGTTTTAACATCTGGAGTTGTTTTTGTATATTTGACGGTTATCAATTATTTTGGTATATAAGGTCTCTGTTGAATGGGGTAAGTGGGTAACCATTTTTGCACTTGGGAAAACGAAAATGATATTTATACATAAATAAAGGATTTGTAAACTCAGTTACTGTTCAAATTACATTTGAATTTGCTATTTTCACTATACACAGTAAATCTGTTTTCTCTGCCTCTTATCTACAAAGTTAGAGAAGATATATTTACCAATATCCTTTTCCTGTGACTCCTCAACTGCCTCATTTTCTTTATTTGTGTTCTCACTATTAATTTGTGGCTCCTCGCTTTTGGCTGTCTCCGCCGTCTCTTCTGGACCATCTAAATCGACAATCTTTTTAACCTTTTTCTTCTTTTTCTTCATGCTTGGATCAAAAACCTGAACGCACAAAGAATATATTCAGGAGAAAACATCGCAGAAATCCAAATTGGCAAATTGCTGTCTTCACGTGCCACACAGATGCAGTATAAAAAGATGAACACAAGAACATTTAATACATTGTCAAAATCGTCTGCCATTTTCGCACAGCTTTCACGTAGTCTTCTTCACACAAAATTATCTTCAGCAATACTTCTGAAATACTGAGAAATAAAACGACATAAAATAAAAAAATATGTAAACAATCTGCTGCGACTTGATTGCATCAGCCAAAATCTCTGTACGCGTGCATGTGAAGTTCTTGTGATGGCACAAATATCCCACCGGCTAATCGTACCCTTCAACAGATAAGTGGTGACAGAAAGAAACAAAAATTGCTATCGGCTGACGTCACTCTTCTGAGTTCCGACAGTTCCGACCAACGATAGTGAGCTAGCGACGTTTTCTGATCCACGAACCGCAACCGGAAGTAATTTCAGTCGTTATAGACGAACTAGAAACCCTGAGTCCCTGACCAGTGTCCACTGCCGGTTCTATAAAGGGTTGTTTACATCATATCGATCCCGCTTGCCCAGATTAAACAAAAACATGAGATGACTTACTATCGCTTTCTATTCATATTGACCAAAACCATTATAGATGCCTGCGGAGAAGTCTAATAGCTCCGACCACTCCGACTGATGTATTACGACTTCGCGGTCAGAATTAGAAATAGGGCACTTAAATAGATAAGCTTATGTACGCGCTCTGGCTTTATACAAATTTAAATATACATATCAATATTCAATACATGCATGACACAAGCGCTAATTTCAGACAGTTTCGATTTCAGAATTCAGAACCCGATTTCAGAAGCACGTCCACACGCCACGCGCGCTCTTCACGCGACCGCGTAAATTTCGAAAGCGCTTGGGCTCAAGAGTGTGCTTACGTCACACGACGCAATTAATTTCATACGTCATTCGAAGTGGGACGCGCAAACAAAAGAACGCGAAGGAAACCTCAACGGTATTTTCATTCAAGACAAATGAGTTTTCCTGCAGCTCCAAGGATTTCGCGTACAAATTATCAATCTGTTTACGTTACTATCGTATAGTTGGCTTGCAATGACTGCACTTCCGCCGTCATCTATGCCTTCACCGGAAGAGTACAAGTTTTGCGATGAACGCTACTCGAAGGAAATTCTAAAAAGGCTAAACAAACTTCGCGAGAACAATGTCATGTGTGATGTTATCATTAAAATTGACAACCAGGAATTCCCGGCGCATCGGAACATCCTTTCGGCGAGCTCGGATTATTTTCTAGCGATGTTCAACGGGAATATGAAAGAAAGTACGGAACAGTCTATCTATCTAAACGGAATTGGGGCCGAAACTATGCGGGCGATTCTACACTTTATCTACACCGGGGAGATCTTCTTGAACAAAAACAACGTAGAAAACATCTTACAAGCTGCAAATTTATTGTTGGTTCAAACGGTCAAAGATGCTTGCTGCCGTTTCCTGGAGAGTCGTTTGACCATAACGAATGCCTTAGCGATTCAACTTTTTGCAGAAATCTACGCATGCGAAGAACTGCATTTGATAGCATGCGAATTTATCCACCAGAATTTTATATACGTCTCGGAAACGGAAGATTTCTTAAGCTTATCACCTCGTCAACTTGCCATGTTGTTGCAAAGCGATGAAATCAACGCTGAATCTGAAGAAAAGATCTACGAAGCCTTGATGCGCTGGATCAAGAGCGACATTCGCGCACGGCGTCAGCATTTCCCCGAGCTGATAAAACACATAAGATTGCCTTTGATATCTCCGTATTATTTAGTGGATTTCGTTGAGAAAGAGAGTCTGTTTAATATGACCCCGTCCTGTAGAAGTCTGTTGCTTGAAGCTCAGCACTATCACATGTTACCTGAAAGACGCGTGGAGGTTGACAACGCCAAGATTCGCCCCCGGCAGTACGAGAGGTTGCACGAGTCACTCATGGTTATCGGAGGAAATGGTGACATCACGCCTTTAACAACAGGTAAACAAGTCCAAAACATTCCACCTGAATGAGCCGAACTGTCTAGGAGCAGAGCTATAGGCGCATAACCTGGAAAAGAAGGATGCATTTATGGAGGAGCATGCCTGTTTAAAAAATAGATAGCATTGAACCGTTGTCTGTTCAGTTATAGATACAAAGATGACGTCATTTGCGATAAGAACAAAAACAAAGTGGCCACGAACCCCCGGGGCGAGTGGTCACTTATATTCTTATCACAAATTACGGACGTCAGACGATTAACACGTCTTCATTTCCTTTCCTTTAGTGTTTTCGTACAATACGATGAAGGACCAATGGACTGAACTACCAAAGCTCTCGAAAGAACGCGGTTACCATGGTATCTGTGGTATTGGCAGCAATGTTTACATAGCAGGAGGTTATTCGTGTGTCAATTCAGAGACCTTGAATTCAGGTACGTCAAAGAGTTTTCTTCAAAAATACATCAGTGTTTGTAGGTATCGACCATAGGCTTGTTGGGTCCAGTGTAATACAAACCCTATTTAGTAGGGTCTGCCTGTTTGGGAGATTTTGACGAGTTTCGCATATCTGAAAATCGAGTAATACGTTCATTCCTTGGTACTTTCTAATCTCGTTATTGTTCTCAAACGTGCAATTTTAATACGATACTTTAGCAGTAGAGGCTCTTTACGCGGCAAAATTTGCTCACTCTATTACCTTGGATTTCATGCAGCTATTTTAATGAACATGAATGCAACTAATGCATGGGAACCTTTCTATGTTCCTCCTTGACCAATGACCTCTGCTAACATAGATCTATTCCTAAATAGCCAAGAAGAATTAACAGACAAGGATCCGCGTACCATACCTGTTTGAACAGGTTGTACGAAAGAGGGCTAAAAATAAAATAAAACACAATTAGCTCACATTAGGTACATATCTTCTGCGAAAGAGATCACTATCTCCAGGGTTAATATTTAGTGTTACTCGGGCACTAGTCTTTGAGCAACCAGTTAATACTGCCTAATGGCATCAATAGTGTGACAGGTATCTGTTTTCTAAGAGCTGAATGCCGATACTGATATTTTTCGCAAAGAATAAATTTCGCTTTTCTTTTCTTTTCTCAAGTGAAATGTTACGACGCCCGAGATAAGACGTGGCATTATGTGGCCTCAATGAACGCAGCCCGCAGCAAGCTCAGCATGGCTGAAGTGAATGGTATTATTTATGCAATGGGAGGTTTTGATGGAAGCACAACGTTAAATACCGTTGAAAGTTACAGCATTGGAACTAACAAGTGAGTCATTCATGCTGTAATATTCAAACTTCATACACATCCCTCGCCCCAAGGGCACGAAAAGGGAGAAGCATTGTTTTGCCTATCACATGCTCTGCAGGGTGTATCAAAAAAGCGCAACTTTTATAATTCCCAAGGGCCTAATCTTTTGTTATTGAATAGAATTGAACAAAATTATATGAATATTAAGTGGGTTCCAGATTTATTATACACCCTGTAGTTGACAATGCAGTTCCTTCGGTCTCGCGTGACGTCATAGCTTCCAGTGTGCTCGACTCGAAATCGAGGCAAATTATTTACAGTGAGTCGGTTGTTAACTGCATGTAGTCTTTTGGTGCTTAAATAAAAGATATGTGTAATGTCGTATCATCTGCCTACTTCTGTGCCTACCCCCCCTCCCACACACACAAATACTAATTAAAATGCTTAGTGGTCAGTGGAACTCAACAGGGGCATATTCAGGTGCGATAGTTGTTTTCTTTTATATAACTGGTATTTTGAGAATATAAGATGTTGTCTTTCACAGTGTGTTCTTACCTATATTATTAATCAACTCGTTTTATTATGCATTGTGTTTACGGTGAAAAGTTTGCATGTCATGTCACTGCCCGTATTCTTGCCCGTGTTTCCAAAAGTGTTTTCTTGATTGATTAACGATATGCGTTCTTACATATTGTGTGAATGAGTTTTATGTTGAATTGCCTTTTAGATGGAAGACAATCGCCTCGATGCCAAGCAGACGACGTTGCACATGCGCAGTATCACATGGCCAGTATGTCTACGTATTGGGAGGCCATGATGGATCAAACATTTTGAATACAGTCGAGAGATACGACACGATAAAGTAAGTTGCTACAGATCTCAGTAGATCTATCATAGTGACGTAACGAAGGAAAACTCAAAAGGTTTTTTTTGAAGGGCATTCGAGGTCAGCAAACGCTCTCTTTTGCATTTTGGAGAAACCATCTCAATCTAATTGCGGACCAACTATTTCGATCCTTGTTTCAAATTGGCATAAACAATGCTTTACTTCACATAAAGCAATATGGCCATGAAATATTTTCAAATATTATATCTATACTAAAGCGAAGGAAGTGAAAAACGAAGGTGTTTTTGCGTAGAAATGAAAGAACTCACTGAATTCAAGTGCCGAAGTGAATCATAATCCAATTTAGTGGAGGTCCAGCTTTTCACTGGAAATTTTGACTAGACTTTTGTAGACTACTTCAGCTGATTGAGTGATTGTGCTGAATACGATAGTTTGAATAAATTTATTGCGTAAGGCTGCTAGCGAAAAAACTGTTGAATTGTGGTATCAGAACCTTTTCCTTTTTAGCGTTTTCAGCAAAAAACCTGAGCATATAACGTAGCCACAAATCAAGAATCCGTCTTTTTCTTTCAAATTACAGGGATGAATGGAGTGCAACAGATGTTACCCAAATGCACGATAGAAGATCATTTCCATGCGCTGTCGTTGTCGACGACAGAATGTTTTGCATCGGCGGTTACGATGGCAACGACACGCTACGAACCGGAGAGGTTTACGACTTCGAATCGAACCTGTGGACGCCAATTCCACCCATGTTCGTTGCCAGATCGAACGCGGGCGCAGCCGTGCATAACAAGAAGATCTACATCGTGGGAGGCTGGGACGGAGTGAGCTTAGCCTCAGCCGAGCTGTACGATGTCGTTATTGGGGAATGGAAACGAATCGAAAGTCTTCCGCGGCCAACGACCGGGGTCAGATGTTGTTTCATCAGCTTGCAAAATCAAAATAATGACCAGAAGCCACTTCGACAAAAGAACTCCAAGGGCCACCTGTGCAGCATTATGTAAAGCATTACATTACCGTCAACTAATCAGCAAGCCTAATTGAATTCGTATGCAATTTGCACTGCCAAGAGCGGCAAGCTATCGAACTTAAATGCTACTGTTATATGTATATTAATTATTATAAAACGCACATCCAACGATTGTTTGGGATTTGGGAATGTAAACGCTGTGATGATACGCTGGACATGCAGTAAACGTAAATGCAAACTTGGAATTTAGACTGAATGAATATTTGTGAAATGAATATGAAATAAATGGAAAGAAATTGTCCTTAAAAACTTGTATCTGTATTCATTTGGCCTTGTCTTCAAAAACTCATAATGCTTAGAAATACGGATGCACTGTTCGGTCAAAGATGCGGATTAACTTATCTTCAGACAAAATTTTTGACTAAACACATGCAGCAACAAAGCCCAGCAATAAAAGCCAATTGCAATTTGCCCACTTGTTAATCTCCATCAAATCAAAACGAAGGTTTTCCTTTTACTCGACTGTCACAAGTGATGGCTAGTCACAAAAAGACGCATGTGCTATAGTTATAGTTACAGTTACAGTTATAGTTATAGTCTATTTTTTTGTAGTTATAGTTATTGTTCTAAGGTTATAGTTACGGTCATTTTCATTGACAAAACGCTTAAGCAAAATTTTTAGCCAGAAGTTCAGCTATATCTATTGCGAGGTTCGTGATGATTATATTTGTAAACAAGGAGACATTTGGTTGTCTTTGTGTACAGAAGTAAGCCTATATAGCCAACGAATGATAATATATGCATTATAATGTACACACTTTCCCGGGAAAACTATGGTGAATAAATGTTTTATTCAACTCATTAGGAAAAACTATGCGAAATCAAATCTAAACTCAGCAGAATTCTCTGGTCTTGACAAACAAAACTTAAAATAGAAACAAGTTGGCTGTAGGCATGTGAATTGGCGGCTGTTCTTCAGGAAGTGGGAAATTTCGTATTCATTTGACGGAAATGAACAGGTTTTTTCGGGTGTTTTACCTTCCTCCTCATTAATTCTAATCTGAAACTCCCTATTTTACCTTCAATTAACGAGTCTCACAGCAGGCTGCTTGTCTCTATCGCTGATAGAATGAGCCTTCCAGAAAAGTTATTAAAAGAAACGACTTCTCAGTAAATATCGGGAAACTGAGGTGGAGCTAAGAAGATATTTTATATCATTACCTTGATATCTGAGGATGATTTGACCAGCGTTACACCTAAATATAGAGGAATTAAGTCATGCATCAACATATTTTTAAAACAAACTATTATTTATATTGCTGGAATTGAAGAACAAATGAGTTGAGCTTACATTCTTGTCACATTTCAAATACGTCGTTAATATCTGCCTTAACTTAAAGTTTACCAGACTTTGTACGATGCGTGAAATGACTTTCGATGGATCGAAAAAAGTGGCCTGTATATAAGACATGATTCTGTATGCCAGTGACTTGGTCATCCCGATATAATAAAATAGCACGTGTGAATAGCACGTGTCTCAAAGTACCCGAAAAGAGTGCATGTGAGATTGCTTTCTCTTTCTCGATTAGTTTCTCTTCGTTAAGATAAAACAATAAACACTTGTTCAAAGCTTCACGTCAAAGGAAAAAGTTATGCATGCAAGGCCTAAATTTCACGTCATGATCTTCGTTTATACTACGCGTCGTATTTTATTCATGTGCATGCTGAAGGAATCACTATACATTGCATTATAATTTATCAAGCATGAAATTTGATTTGCTTTTGATTGAGTTATCGTCCCATTTTGGTCACCGGCCGTGTGTAGTTTGACTGACGTAGGATTATGATGCAGTCCGCCAACGTAAACTACGAATGCCATTAATCTTCATAATAAAAAGTCCAAATGATCAGCGATCTCAATGATCAAGACTTCTCCTATGCGTGTATTTTGTTAATATAGAGAATATCGTGTGCCTAATGCACGTATATATATTTGAAGAAAGTACTATATAATTTAATACAAGCTTCAATCATACTTCGTAACACGCAGTATTAACGTTCTTATAAATGTTGTAATTTACAGTCGATTTCATCGGCCAGACGTTTCACCTGGTAAATTAAACATGAAATGTCTTTGTTCGGAAGTTATGCGGAATTTCGGTTGCATGGGAAGTCAGTTCGTTGTGATTCACAGTACGACAGATCTGTAAACAATTATCACCCAATGGCGATACTGTGAATTTATGTCGAAAAAAAGTGAGTTAATGAAATATGCTGATTTTATACATACAATTCTTATGTGAATTTCTCTGAAACATTTAGGGAGACGTCGCCGACGAAATTCTGTCAATATTCTGGAATATATCATGTGTACAAAAATGGCTATTTAGATATGACCAGATATGATAAATTGCTTTAATACATCTATTTTAATAGGAAACTCTCTGTGAAAGTTGCTCTAAATTCAGTTGAGACTCCGCTCTTGGCAAAGAAAATCAGTGTAAATCGTAAAAAAACGATGTCCTGAAATTGATTAGCGAAAACGTGTATTTTTTTAAAAAGTACGTCCGTTATTTTCAAAATAATTTCCTGTGATATGTCTCTGATCGTAATCAAAATCTAGTCAAATGTCCGCCAGTTTCCCGTCTAAGCCTCGATTAAATGTAATTAAGTAATATTTTCCTATTTCTAATATTTCGAGAAGGATTGAGAAGAACCAGACATCTCATTTATATCACTATAATATTTAACGATTATTAAACCGACATAGCATAGACGAATGCAAATATTGAACTCGTCAACATGTCAGATCGAAACAATTATCGTTTTGCTTAGAGAACTGATTTGTTGAACAGTTGAACTTGCACTTGCGTCACATTTAAAATACGTCGTTTAATGTTTGACTTAGTTTGACAGCCTTGAAATATCTTCTAATCAGACACTATAGACAAACGCTATCAAGCCGAGTGCGAAGAATTAACTTCTTTTGTCTTGTCTCGTCAAATCTCATTCTACCGATTACTCCAGGTGATACGTCCGCCATCGCAAACGTCAAGCGTTACCAGAACTATCGTAAAATGTTGCGATAATCCAACGATAGCATTTCAAACAGCGTCAAACTTTTAATTACGTTTTAACTTGAGAATTCCAATTGTTTCAAGATGAAGGATGTCGATCCGTAGTGAACTCTACATTCTGGCGAGTACTCGTCTCTAAAAATAATCAACTAATCAACTATTCTTGTATATAACTGCATGCCTCCAAAAGCCCGTGTCAATTGTCTGCTCATGTCAATTGTCAAATTCCTTCCAGTTTGCAGGATGATTTGCTTATTTACCCTGACAACCAATCGGTCCGTTTCTTTTCGATAGCGCGGTAATAAAACGTTAGTAATAATAGTTTTGGATTCAAACATCTTCGGTGGTTTTAAATCGATCCAACATGTTACACTTGCATGCAACCCCCTAACGACCGGCTGTTAAAAAACGCGTTTTCAGGCAACGCTGTCAAACTTACATCAACAGAAATGGAGGACATGTTGAAAGCATAAGAACATATACGTTTGTTTAAATGTAAACATTTTCATGGAACATTTGCTACATCAGATAGTGCTGATGAACTAAATTTTTATAAATTCACACGTTTTTCTTCGAAGTCCTATTTCAGCAAAAAGAATTTGAATCGCAACAGACGATTCATTCCTAATGACTAATGCAAGTTTTCAATTACTTGCGCATGCGCTGGTCGTGGTCGTTTTAGTCGTAATGAGGAACAATGTAATCTTAAACTTAATAGGTTTATACTCCTTATTGCGTTATTGAAAATTTATCGTTTAGTATACGTCTCAACGTTTTATGCTGTATATAAATTATGCTTAATGAAAATAAAATACGACACTTTTTATAACCATTTATTTTATTGAGTTTGTTTTGGTCGTCGTTGTTAAATGGGCCAGCACCGGAGGGCGTGAATTCGCTGAAAACCTCAGGTTCTTTCCCTTCTTACTGAATTAATTTAATACTCTTCGAAAATACTACGTTTGATTTTCGGAAATACACACAATTTTCAACTCAATGAAAGCCTGGATTGCAGCCTAACAGGCCATTGTTCTACACTGCAACGTCTAACATCATCTGCCGGCCTACGAGTTGACGCAGATTTGTCTGCGAGAAAACGTAGTGCATTTTTACAGCCTTTTCATTTGCACCGTTTTTATGCAAATAATTTATTTTTTCAATTCCGGTTATTTTGTGATAACAAATATTTAATACGAAAGATTCGCTATCCATGCAAATGAGCAGAGTATAATATGCAAGATCAAGATCGTGAGTCGTAATGCAACCCTAAAAACGGCGTTAAATTAAAATACAAAAATGCCGTGCTAAATTAAACACCTCAGTCCTTATGGTTTGATCAACAGTTTGTACTGTCAGCAGTGTCAGGGAAATATTAAACGGTTCGTGAAAGGAGAATGAAAGAGCACGGGGGTCATAATATGAGTCATTGTGTACACTTTGTGTAAGGCACTTAAGAATCTCTTGAAAATAGTCATATCCTATAATCAACCGTAATTTTTTTTGTGTCCAAAGGTCAAACATATCTTATAGTCAAAGATGCATTAACTTCAGTGTTCCGTGTTATTTTCTATGTCCTATAGCTGTTGACAAATTGTAAAAGATTTTCATCAGTTTTTCGCACGGAAAGGAGCAACCATTTGTCTTTCAATAAAGTTGGTCAGGATGTCATATATTCTCAATCTAATTAAATTTGAAATATATGTATGGGCAAAAAGAATGCTTCCGATGGACATTATCATTAAAGGTGACTGATGCATATAGTTTATTTGCGCGTCTTTGCCCAAAAAGATGATCTATATATTTCTTTCCTGACAGATATTTTATCTGCCGTATTTATATAATAATGCATGCATGTATATGCTCGGTCATTAGGGCTTAAATCCTAATTTGAATTGAATGTTCTAGTCTATAATATTATCATGATCCCGCCTGTAACGATCCTGTTTTCATGCCTTCGGGCATAGAAGATCCTTCTATGGCTATAATAGTTGTATAGATCGTCTCTCGCTTTATAGCGTTCGCTTTTCTATCTTACTCCCGTACATGCATTGTCTATGAAAGGATAAAGCATCTGCATGTGTATATTCATTTTTATTGTCTCAGCCGATCATATAACGAGAGGGGCGAAATCGTATGCGTTATTAATTTTGCAAACTTTGCTAAATTCGGTAAAGTAGAATTCGTAATTGTCCTATACTCATTGAAATTTCCTTAAAGTAATCTCCATACATCTCCAAATACAAAAAGCATGAAAACCATTTTAATAGGTACAAACTACTGAAAAAATCGTGAACACAGCCGGTTATGCAATAATGATAATGCATCATACGATTGCATTAACAGAATGAATGCTATTTCTAAAGCCCCCTGCATTGTGCAGCGGGCTTTATGTTTCAATAGGGTGAAAAGGATTGAAAGCCTTTTAATCAGAGCGCATTGCTTCAATTTTAATCATGTATATATATAGTTATTTCTTTTCAGTTTTTTCCACATGTAGCTAGAATGCTAGATGATGATGTATACATGCATGCAATGCGAGGGTGCATTGTCATGATCTTAAAGGGTCATATTTCAGATGAGAAAATTCGTCCCAAAATACTTAGGGTCACATATTATATGTATACATACATATATAGGCTATATATACATGATGTAGCTATATCACTATCAATCTGGTCAAGAAATCCAGTCTGGCACATTGTGTGTGTACATACATCATAGTTGTCATGCATATGAAACTAATCTCAAGTGTTTGGCTAGATTTATAAATATTCTTGATGACGCGATTATGGATCTATACACGCACGATATATATTAAAAAACGCTTAATCCCAGGTTCAAACAAGAGTTTCGCAACCAAATATAAGCAACAACAATCGCTTGCTAATATAATCTAGATGTATTAATAAGCTTTTTTTTAAAAAAAAAGGTTCATTGATTTTTGTTGTTGAATTTTGTTAAAAATAACCTAATTTCTTCCGTTTCGACTTGGCAAATATTTTGTTTTGAAATCTCAGTTATATTTAGACATTTTTAATTTTTTCACTAGAAACGACGCTGTACTATTTTGGGTATAAACATGACTCATGCCGAAGATCTAGACTCTGCTTAAATTTCGATGTCATTTTTTCATACAATGCATCGTGCACTATCCCAAAAATTACACCCTGTTCCGCAAGTCACGATTGTTCAAGTTTAAAAAATGGTAGATAACACTTCTTAATAAGCTGATATACACATCATACATATATATTCACTTCTTTGTTTTCTTTACTGCATGTTTATATTGGACCTTTTGCGAACATTTTAACCGTTTTCGCTTAAGATATTGGTTTATAGATATCCGATCATTTGAATAGAAGACTGTTATTTTTATGCATAAAATGTTTTTTCCCATAAAAGCTCTTTACAATTCTATCTATATTCAATATCACATTAATATATTTTCTTAAAATAGGAACATTAATCAAATTGTTCATTTTCGTGTCAAAGACTCTTGCTGTATTCTTCATAGGCTCGTAGCTACATATAGCTACGAGTATTTAAGGCAAATTTCACAGCGCACTTACGGATTTTAAACCGGATTGTCAACATTATGAATTTAAATCAGTTCTTATTGCATCTATAAAAGCAATTTTCCACTGATCGGGCGGCGTGAATGAGCTATTCTGAAATCTGATTGGCCGACTTAAGCAAAATCAAAATGGCCGACGGTTTTACCTAGCCTGCACGATGAAAAACTTTTGAAAAAGCGTTTCTGAAGAGTGTAGTTAGAGCTATATTAAACAAAAAACAAGATAGAGAAAAATGAGAATATCTATCAACAAAGTGGATCTGACCAAACAATCGGCTAGCCATTTTCCTCATATTAAAAAGCGATTAATCTTGCATAGAAACAATTAAAATATGAAAAACGAAATCATTAGCCCATCATATACATCGTGGAATCGCTAATGTTTTCCTCTTTAAATATAAAATGGTATTCGCAGGCTATAATATAAAACGTCCATGCATCACTTCAATCTATGGACTATGGAAACCATCGAATTTCAGGATTAAAAACTATATAATACAATGTAAATAATACAAATGCATGCATGCAGGTGTGTCACGAAAGTATAGCCAGTTCTGCGACGAAATATTAATGATCTAGTTTGGAGTCATATTAGACCATTCTTTTTGTTAAAGGCCGCAACTTTTTGTTAATCTACAAGCTTCATGTGAAATCACATGCACTTAGAGTCTTAAAATACTGAAGAACATCTGCTTTCAAACTCTCCTATATATATTCAACTTTGCACGTAACTGTAGAAAACTAATTGCGATAATCTGATAACTCTTCATTAGCATGTTGATAAGTTCATGCACTCTACGGTAGTACAATCATTTACTTTTATTACACACTGCGACCTGCCCTCCCTATATATAGAGTTTCACTTACAGATATCTATTGAGGAAATTCAGCTTCATTTATGCAATGACTTCCCCCGCAAAATCGACGTTTCGCACACAACGCATATTTAATATAAAACGTCATAAACGTCTAAAGCGCTTATATGGATCTTTGAAACTATTGTGGCAATTTCGTTCTAATTAATTCTTAAAACAAATGCAAGAGCTTAGTTTACACGCAGACCGAAGGTTTGGAATACCGAAGTATAATATAGGTAATTATTGATCTTAAAAGCTTTCAGGAATTAAAACGTCTAAAAGGTCTCGCTAAATTGAGGACATTTTTAGGTCAATATGGTTTGCGGTATATTACTTGATCAAGGAATTAAAATGTAACAAGACGCATTTGAATATTCACACAGAGTTCCTTTTTTAAATAAGTTTACTTCGGATATATGTGGGAACCACGGAGCCGGAAAGCGTACTTTTCGATTCACAGTACGCCCAGGACTGGCTACACGCATATTTTATGATATACACCGACCTCATTTAGCATTGGACGTCAAATCATAATCAGATATATTGAAAATGACAAAGCTAGCGGCATGATGAATGATAATTTGCACCGGAAAAGCCCACGGTCTGTTTGATTATCACCCGAATTACCATTAATTACACTCTCTTAGCAGACGATTTCATAAATAGGCGATCCAACAGCCCGGAGAATCAAACGAAATTGCGAGACAGTTGGACGAAGAGCTTGAAGAAAAAATCGTGCAAATAGAATAGAATATATCACAAAATGTCCGTAAAAATACTTTGTCTTTTCCTGGTATTCCTGGTCATATCTTACGATGTTGAAGCGTTTACTGCTGGCGCGGGAAATATTGGCATGAGAGGCAGAAAAAGGGGCTTAGTCAACAAGGTAAGGGAGTAATATCACGATCAATGCTAATTCACCTATTTTTTAATTTTTCAACTATTTTGTAAGTTCTATTTATTACTTATTCCTTCGTTAATATTTCTTGTTTTGTTTGTGTTATTTTTTTTATCCATTCGAAAATGCTCTTTTTTTTTACTTATTTGTTCGTTTTCTAACTCATTTGTTCGTCACTCGTCTCTATATTCTTTAGTCTTTACGGTTCCTTTATTATGATTCCCGTTAAATCCCGCTTTTTTTCCCATGACCATTTATTTGCTTGTCCTTATACTTTCGGATGGACACTTGTAGTTTACATCGCGCACCAAACGCCACTTCTAAAATTTTAAACCCCAAACTAACTTAGTTTTGCCCCAAACTAACTTAGTTTTGCAGTACAATTTATGGTCCAACTTTATACATCTAGCATTTATACTCTCGAAATAATTGTCTCAAAATTCACGCGTTGCAATTCAAACTTTGCACTGTGGCTGTAAAAAAATAGTTCAACAACTTGTTTCAGATGAAAAACATTCTCATTTAAAAAACATTTTCAAGTAACGATGTTATCGACCTCTGCCCTATAATTAATAAAAAAAACACTTAAGAAATCTCTTTTGTAACAAGTGTTAGAGTGAAGTTTGCAGCTCAATATTCCGTAAATAGTGTTTCTTTAATTTGCAAATAACAGGTGATTTCTGAGGCAGTGCAATAAATGCAATGGCATAACTTAATCAGGCTTATGCCTGCCTTTGACCTATCTCTAGCAGACAACAGACTCGACATATAGTAAAGTGCACATCAAAATATATTTCGCGGAAAATTAACAAGAATCAACATGCATGAAATTCGTTCAATGATTATCGTCTCATTCTGGGGCACCAGAATACGTCGATCCCTTAACGATATCAAATAAATGTCAGAGAAATATCTGCGAGATTTCATACTTTTATTTGTAAGTGAATATACCGGTACGATGCGCGTTTTTAAACATTGCATATTTAAAAAGCAATTGATTATAGTGGACTAGGCGACATCGGTAGCAGATTATATGGCCTCTAACTGCGTGTAAAAAAATTGAAAACCTTTATTTAGACTATTACATTTTGCGGTTATTATATACCAAAAACTAAGCGTAGATGATAGATAATACTAAATTCAAGATAGAAATTCCAAAATCAACATCGTCATTAATCTATTGATTGTATATTGCGATGGTTTGAACTAATCTAACAGCTTCAGAAAAATTCTCTCAGGAATCGAATTTTTTGTGCGGTTCCATGTATGTGCAGTTATCCTGATAGATCGCTGTCAGATGCGGGATATATCGGTCACGTTTTTAAGATCTTAATCCTAGTGCAAATATTATATGAACACCATACATTAATTAGAAAAACACAATGTCGCTCGCCCTCCTAAGCCAATGCTTCAAGATTACGACAAAGATTAAATCTTGACAATAACTATGAATAAGTGATATGGAATATTCTTTAATCGTCAGTTCGATTTTAACTTTCACCGTCGATTAGAGCAAGGTTTTGGCCTTTGCATGGCTTCCTAATACTATACTTGATCTAGACGAATGTTTATGGCTGCCGAAATTCGGACAACTTTCTTTATCAAGTATCAACAGGAGGCGAAATTGTCTCTGCATCCAATGAGCTTTTATTAAAATGTTTTGTTAATCACATGCATGCTAAAGACGTTTGACATTCATTATTCGATATATATCTCCAAATCATGCATATATCATCAGCTACACTACGAAAACGCGCCAAATTACCGCTTGATTATTACATTCCCTCATTTCCTAGTAATTAAGAGACAAATAGCTTATTGGATCCATGTCAAGCAGCGTATTAATAAACGTATAAACGTCGCCGACAGGCAGATGTTGTGTTTCCCATCAGCGTGCATAAGTTCTCATTACATACATGTGTAACACCTTTCGCATTTTCTTACGGAGAAGAAAAATGGGATATGTAGAACAGTCCAGTGTAACGGGAGTCAGTTACTTCTAATATATAATAGATCATAACATAACTGAAGTGATAATTGAAGATAAACACGCAACTATCAGTATATATCTGGGTTTTAGCTAAAGTATATATATACATGACACCAATGTTGAGTCGTATATCAAATTGAAGCTATTCAAAAATGCTATTCATGCAGCGTGGAAATTGAATATTTAAATTAGCACTTTAAAGACAAATAAAGAATTATAAAAACATGAAAACATAATATAATATAATATAGAACATATAGTAAATGATAGGCGCGTTTTCTTGCATTTTACCTCACTTTTTACCCCCATCTTAGTTAATAATATCATAGTTTACTGGTAGAACTTAGGAGTAGCTATGTGGGTAGCTATGTGAGTGAAATAAGGTTCTCGGTACTATAGTGACCGCGGAAATTGATAAGACTTCTTAACTTAAACAATTCGCAATTCTTAGACTTCAAACTTGGTGAGAAAAAAGATTTATAAATACTCAACAAAATATGTCTTGCACAAAAGATTTGAAGCTTGCACACGGCAAAAACGAATCGTCTGAATTAATAACTTTGTGTATACTTTAAGCCTCAAAATGGCCATTTTACAGCTGTCAAAAATATAATGACTTGTCAAAAGATTGCAGAATGCGTATTCAGAAAAAAAATTGAACTTTTTAAAGTTATTCAATATTTTTCTCTTTGTTAGCGATACAGAAACACACAGTTGTGAACCAGTGATTAGATTTTTGGGTTGAAACTCAATAAACAGGAATTTCTGCGGTGCACGTTTACTATAGTTTGATGATCAAGTTCTTCAAAGTTATCCAGTACTTTCCGGCGGGCAATTAATTAAAATGTTTATATATATGTTTATATACGTTTAGGATTTCAGAGTTTTCAAAAACATCTGCACATGGGCGAACAAGTACTGTCCTTCCGCTAATAAAGGTATCGAGAATACAATGGGAGTTGTGAAGAGCGAGGAAACACCTGATATCCTGGAAACGGAAACGGATGTCCTGTAGAGGAACCTATATAAACGCTTCTAAACCATACAGACGTGTATATTATTAAAAATCACTCGCGAATAATTTAAGGAAAATAAATGAGGCGAAAAAATACATTGTAATTAACCTTATTTTATGTTGTAATAAAACGCAATTTGAAAAACTGTATTCGTGGCGTAAACATGCAGCCTGGATGAATATAGACTACAGGTTTTGTTTCTGCGCTGTAACTACCAGCGTACCAGATAGAACTACCGCCCGCTACTGGATGAACATGTTTCCTTTCCTTTGGATCACCCTAAGTTAACCAAAACTAACCAATGACTGTGCCGAATATATGCTATTGCTATCATCTATATTTATGTTCTTACATATAATTATGCATGTTTATAAGTTGAGGACAAACCGACAAAGTGATTATAATATATTGAAGGATGCCAGATGACACCGCGGAAATTGGTAAGATAATTGGCGATTCTTCATATTTAGACTTCAAATTTGGTGAGTGAAAAGATCGGTCATCTTTAAAAATCTAGGGTCATCTTTAAAAATCTAGCGCATCTGCATTCGAAGCCTCTGCGGAGGAGAGAGGCTTTCAGACGTGTATAATGAGCTGACAAAAGATTGCAGAATTCAGAAGAAAAATTGAACTTTTTAAAGTTATTCAATATTTTTTTACAAATCTGCAGCGGGCTGAATCCTATTCTTTCCAACAATCTGATTGGCTGCAGCAGCGGGCGGAATCCTAGCCTTTCCAGCAATCTGATTGGCTGTAGCAGCGGGTGGAATTTTACGATATTTGACCACGGACCGGAATCCTATATTTCGGTATGCTTGAGCGAATTAAAGCGTATTTTTTTGTTTTTCCAAAGATTTATTTGCAAACTTTTGACTTTTTTATTTTAAAATGTATATGGACCAAATAATTATCACGATAACTGATTGAAGTTCACGATAAAACGGAATGAAGTGTTCATTTGCTTATGTTTTTGTCGCCACTGCTGAGTCTAACTATAAAAAAGTCTACAATTATAATATGACCGAACGCCGCATTTTGTAAAAAAATAAAAATATTATTAATTTTACCGTTTTGGTCGGTCCGGAAAGAAAACATTTCCCCGAGGTATAGAAAATATTTTTCCATCCGGACCTCGCAGCAAGTAAATAACATCATTTATTTTTTTCCTTGCG